TACCGTCTTAACCTATTATTAATTTAACGACTACGGTGTGATTTTTATTTAATCTTTATCTTAGTTTTGCATATTAATAATAAAATTATAAGTTTTTGAATAACTGAATAATTTTTTGTATATTTAACATTTTTTCATGCATATTTTTATACATATTTTACCTTTTTTAACTCCTATAACTTCCGAGCCCTAGTAACGACTGTTAAGGCTAAACTCACACGGAGCACTCATGGACATTTTTTTTGTGGTTATAATGTGCTTGTGCTGTCGACGACATCGATAGCACAAGCACTTTTGAACCACTTTTTTATGGTCGTTAGACCCCCAAACCGACGACGATAGAACCACAACTACAAATATGGCGTATATACTATATTTCTACTTTACAAATTTAATTTAGAGTAAAAGTGGATTTAAAAGAGGAAGCACTATTGTTACTTTTATTACGTCGAAGAATGAGGTGTGGTAGAAAAACAATTTTTCGAGTCCATCCTATAATTGAAAATAAAAATGATAGCCAGTTTAATTTGCTTTATAATTCATTAAGAATGTACGATGAAAAATTGTTTACATACATTTAATAATAGAATCGACAACAGTCATAACAAACGAAATAAAATAATATGATAATGTTAATAATAGTATTAATTTTCGTGCTGGCGGCGAGTGGTCAGAAAGTGGTTGTCGTGTCGCTACGTTCGACCACAGACGACCACAATTTTGTGGGTGATACCGTTGACAAGACAGCGACTGCTGTTGGGCTGACGTCAGAAAGTGGTCTGTCAGTGTACGATTACGTTTATCGTATTATTTTATAAATGTTAATGTATCGACCACGAGCGACCGCCGTTTCGTGGTTGTAATGTGATCCGTGTGAGTTTAGCATAAGCAAACGTATTTACAAAGTACCTACCAGATTTCAATATTTTATTCACCCATAGGTTTCTTAGATTTAATTCAGAGTGTACCTAATCAACCCTATTTTGTGTAGGCGGTATTAAGTATGACAACGAATATTCTTAGACTGGAAATGTTGTATGGAACTTCGTTTTAGATTTTATAGATAGCGGAGCGAGAAAACTATTATGGTTTAACAATAATGCGTGATTTTTTTTTTTAACCGAAAAACATTTTATTTTTGATTTTTGTAGAAAAATATGTTTGTTGAGTTGTGTCTACTGCTTTAATCGATAGAACAATGAATGCAAAACGTCTGTGCACATTATTAATTGTAGTTACAAAATATAATTTAATTATCAAATTCATAGACAGAAAAATATTTTATTTTGTATTTTCATTATCTATGATACGATTAAATTGATATCCGATATCGACTAAACCAGTGATTTTCTACCTTTTAACGAATCGCATCTGTCTAATATTTTTTTTGTAAGACTATCCCTTTCAAAATTGTTTAATGAAACTTGAATAGTATAAAGAACAAATAATAAGAATCGTGTAGATGATATTTATATAGTTTTTGATGATCCCTCAAGTATCAGGACCGCTATGTTCAAAACCACTGGTTTAAACAACTAATATCATAAAATATACCGGGTGATTTTTTTTATCATTAAATACTCATTATCTCGGAAAGTATTAACTTTTTTTGAAATTTGTTTTATAGAAAATTTAAAAAACAAGCAGTTCTACAATTTTACATTTACATTGTTTTTTGTTATTCTAATTTTTGGGGGTGAAACGACTACTTACTTTTGATTTTCAATCTACTTTTGATAAGTACGACTTATAATGTACCTTCTGAAAAATATTTGTACATTTCTGTTTAATCTAACAATTTGTTCCACAGAGTACTTACCTAACGAATAAAAACTACGTAAAAATCTCGCAAAATTAAAATGTCTATAAATAGCTCAAAAATGGCTTAAGTTGTTTGAATATTTTACTATGTCTACAAAAGACAAACTTATACGTTTTCTGTTAAGATTCAAGTCTTTAAAAACATTCTTAACTGAATTACAACAAGATAACAAAAGCATTATTTTTGTACATTTTCCCGTTCCTTCTACGTTTTTTACAGTTTTGCTCATTTATAAAAAAAACTACAAGAAATATCAAAAAACGATTTTCTCACTCATCAATTAGATTAAAAATTGAACAAAAAATTTCTCTTGTTGTTTTTTTTTTTTTAATATTTCTGGTAGAAAACATACACCGTACAATTTTAAAATGAAGGTATCATAACGCTGTACATTTATCAGTTTTCATTTTTCTTCTTCTTCCGTTTTTCGCAACTATTATGAAAATTACTTGGGTAATGAAAAAATGACCTCAAAATACTATGTAGATAAAATGTCTTTTTAAAGAAAGATTTATGGTAGAAAAGTTACTCATAGATAAAAAAAAAAATAAAAATAATGTTATCTTAAACATTATTGTAAAATGAGTTTACATTTTGTTCCAAAAAAATAATTAACAATAATAAGCATTTCAATTTTTCACGTAGTTTTTATTTGGTAGGCAGGTACTATGTAGATAAAATGTTTGATCAAACATAAATACTTAAAAATGAAAAGAAATGCTTTGGGAAAGAAGCCCTAAGAAGTTGGGGGCCCTGTGCTCGTCCATTGCATCTGCATGCATAAATTATGGCCTGAGTATTACAGTAACAATTAATAATTAAAGACTAAGCTGGCTTCACAGGAGATGCTTTAAACTTCTCGTTATGGTTATTCAATTGGTTGGAAATCGGAAATATTAATATTAATATGATTTATATAATGAAGGTATTACACCCAATTTTATTTTGAACTTTTAAACATTGATTGCATTTTTCGCATTTACTTTTGTTTTTAGCTTATATGTTCAATATCCATGTATTTTTATTTCCAGATATAAATAAATTAGTTACATTCTTGTAACAAACATTTTTGTTTTGCAGGAGGGACAATTTAAAAATTATTTACGAAATAAAATAAAAAAACTGGTTGACAAATTAACAATTAATACGTAAAACTTTTAATTTATTCATATTTTATTATTTTAGAGTTTATTCAGCTTTTAGGACCGACCGGATAAACTACGTCTCATAATAAATTCTTCAACCAATTAAATCCAGAGACGCCTCCAGAGACTTAGTTGGAAGGAGAATAAGTTATATTTTTCAGAAAACTATAATAAAAAGCATATTTTATATTTTATAGTTTATTCATACTTTGTAATAAATAGATAATAGATACCGCTAACTACGCACTTGTACGTGTCTACAAATAGTCGATAATATATAAATATTTTTTTTTTCTGTTAAGTTTTTTTTAACTGAAAATACACACGTGGGTAAAGGCCATGGCCTCTAGGCCCCCCTCTTCTGGAGCCACCCCTGTCTTAATATCTCTTTATTTTGATTGCTGAATAATATAAATTGGTTTTAGATTATGTGTGAAGAGATTACTGTACAGTAAAACCGTTTAAAATGATATTCGAGAGACTCTTAAAAATTAGTCAATGTATTCAAAATATTTAAAGACATTAATTACAAATTGATAATATTTAATATAAACATAATATAATACATATTATATGCTATATTTTTATAACTATATTTTGATATAAATATAGTGAGAAATAAAAAACAAAATGCATATGTATTGAAACATTTTTTTTATCTTTGTAACACTTTTATTATAATAATCATAAAATCTAAAATAAAACAGTAGTTATAGATAAAATATGTTTCTAAGATAACCAACAATAACTGTCATAATATTCATACATTAGTTATATAGACGTCATAATTACCGATATAAATATGTCATAAAATCCGGTTTGTCACTTTAACTGATGTTACGAAAGTTTCTACTGTACTTATTTTAATATTTTTATTATAAACTGTATTTTTTACATTTTTTACTATCTGTTAAATTTCGTTCCGATCATCAACTCTAAGGGTCACTGGTTTTTACTAGTAGAACATTTTGTTTATTTAGTGTATTGAGGAATTAATTCTTTTTTCTTTTTAGTTTTTTTAATAATGGGGGAAAAAAAAAAATTAAAAACCTAACTACAATATCTAAATTATTGTTTTTTTTAACTAATTTTTCAAATTATTTTACTCTAAAATATCGGATTTATAAATCTACTTCATTAAATGAACATATTTTTTTCCAAATTTTGGGTTTAATAATAATTATCTTTACCCGTCAATTATAAATATAAAATATAATATATATTGATCGAAACTCGTTTAATAACAACTTAAAACTTTGTTGACTCTTTATGTTTATATATATCTAAATTAATCAATGTGCTTTTAATTTTTTTTTTTTTAAATTGCTATTTTTGTATACCTACAGAGCGATGTTTAGCTTTCCGTTGGCAGCGATATTGTTTTGTAATTTATACTTTTATATACATTTACGTTTTATTATATTGTGGGTGCATATAATAAACTCTATAAAATATAGTGAACATTATCACTCGAACAGGTTTTTGTGATCAAAATTTTAATCGTACACAAGAAAGTTTAATATGTTTTTTGTCGATATACAATCGACATTTTATTTACCGTAAGATAAACATTTAATACACTTTAATTAAATTTATCAAACATTAACAAAAATAAGTAATGTTTTTTAGTTTTTTCTCATTTTTTTTTTTTAAAATTTACGAGTGCAACATTTAGAATCATTAGGTCCCAATCAACTAAACAATACTTTGCTTTTTTTTGGTATAAGTATACTCTCTAATGTTATTTATTCAATTATAAATATTATTTAAAAAAATGGTGCAACCATTTCTCGAAATACAGCTCATAAAAATTGTATCTAATAGAACGGTTCACGGTTTGAGTTACCTACACAAACAAATTAAACAATTTAAACTTGAAAATGCATTAAATCCTATTGCTACGTTTTAATTTATTTAATCTATATAATTTGTATTCCTTTATGACGTAATAAATCAAAGCCACTCAATTAAAAAACCCTCCTACTATAAGTTCGGTCAATTTATCCCACCGGACATGTACAAATAAAATGACACTTAAATAAACAGGACATGTGTGACAATTGCTCAGTTGTGCAAAATATATCGTTAATATAATACATTTTCGTTTCTATCTATTTATTCCAACAAAATATTCAATTCGGGTAAGTCATACAATGTGCTACTAGTTAAATGCCTTGATTTATTTTTAAATGTTTACTGAAGTATTTCAACTATTTTCTGTTATTTTTAATGACAATTAGCAAGAAATTTATAATAATTGATGTGTTGTTTTAAGTGATAATTGAAGTAGGGACTTTTTATAAAATAAGTATTTTGTTTATCAATATTAATCGAATAAAATCGATATAAAATATAAGTAGATATTATTTTATTTTATAAAATTCTTCCTCTTTTAGACATTCTACGGACTATTTATAATGGTCGGTTTCCGTAACAGCTACTTTAGCTTCCAGCTCAGCTGTCTAAAATGTCTATATTTATATCTGAATTATTTTTCTTTATATTATGTGTCTAAATATTTTTTAAGTATAATGCTAATATACTAATAAATTGCATAATTATATGTAGAAACTTACTCTAAAATAATTTTTTTTTTATAATTTTTCGCGTAGTACATCTACATTTATTAGGTATTTAATCTACCACTGATAATATGATATTATGTACTCGAATTTCTAACAATAGTTATGCATTTGCTAATATACCTGGTTATAAATATACAATATTTAAATGAATAGTAATATGTATAATGTATATACTTGAAATATAGTTCAAAATTTGAGTTTTAGATATTAAAATAAAATAAAACAAATTAATAACAATACTATGATATTATATTTATTCTAAGATGGAAGAAGATCGATTTAACAATTTGTCGGACTTAAAAAAAACCACAGATAAGAATGACCATGATAAATTATTTATTAAATATATAAATATATGGACATATAATATATATATTTAATACGATTTATTTCCTTATTTCAAACTAAATGGAATTTAACAACTTATTTGACATTCATTTTCAATGTTCGTTGTATGTTAAGTTATCATGGTCTTGTTTCAGCCATCCAATGGTTTTCACGTTGGCGTTGTGGTTTATGTTTTTTGCTATTTCAGCATCACCGATGTCTCTCAGAGGTTAGTAATTAATTTATTGAAATTATTTAAATAGTCTTGGGTACCTTTATTAGTTCAATACCTTAAAGAACCTTTATAATTTAAATTGGCTAATTGGTAACAAAGGAAGGTGTAGATACTTTGTACAATGCACTTAAAAATTCATTTTTTGTATTATATATTTAAGTCTTAATCATATTTAATAATAATTGTGAGTGTCCCTTTTTTTCTAATTTTAATTTTTGTAGAAACAAATTTATTTAAATAACAGTTATTTAGTGTATTTTAGATTCTGAGTGTCTTTGTATTACTAAGATTTTATAAAATGCTTTAGAATTTCGGTTGCTAAAAATGCTCTTTATACATTTTTTACGCAGTACCAATATGGTTGTTTGTCGACTGATGAAATTTTATTAAAACATTTCTTTGATATTAATTTTACTTTTTCTAATAAGTAAAAAAACCCGTTTTTTCCGTATTTTTAACGATAATATTAATATAGTTGTCCAGACCACCCAGCTAACAATGCTCTACTCAGAATTATTTTCGTTACTTTGTTATTATAAAAGCAGAATTATCTTTTATCCTATACGGAAAAACATACCTTCCCAACTTTCCATATACATCAGCGGTATATCCATACGATACTAATTATATCCGTTTTTTCCCCCTTTGGTTAACAAATTTATTTGTTTGTATTATGTTACATACATGAAAAGGAGATAATTAATATTCATTACTTTTCAGTAAAACTTCAATAACTCAAAATGTATACAATTCGAATTTCCAGAAAAAAAAAAAAAAATGAATAACTTATGTTTCTATTTTGCTAAAATTAATTACTGATATCAGAACTTAATAATATTAAAATTGTATACAACATATAATTATAATAGAACAAAAATAAAAAGACGACCAACAATGTTATGATTTACTATTTTAAAAACGATAAAGCAGGATTTAACAAAAGACGATTGTTTGTAAACGGCATAAATATATTGGGATTAGGAAAAGTATTCGCCGAAACGAAGTGTATTGGCACGTGGAAATTGATATTTGTCTGGAAGAATCAATTGACCTTTTGGAGAAAATCTTTATTGAATTCATTCAACTATCTACGAAAAGACACAGCACAAATACCAGATAGTGGTGTCATGGAGATGGTACCCGATAAGAGTGTACGTGACGAAATATTAACAAGTTCCGGTAGATTCTCTTAAACTGATCATAAAATCACGGTGTAAACAATTTCGTGTTACACTAAATTGAAAAACCGGAGTGATAAATAATACTACGTCTACCTATAAGTATTCTAATTGGCATTACCAATTTTCGTTTAGTATTTGATTCGGTATTTTTTTTTTTGTGTTTTAAGCTTTTTTGAACATCAGTGTGCACGTCACATTTCAAAAACTAACGTATTCATTATTCAATTTTGTAATAAAATTACCCAAGCCCATTACACGCTCATCCCTAGTACCATAAACACTGAATATCATCACGCAAAACTGTTCAGCTTAAAACACATATTTTTCCAATTTATATTGATATAAAGGATTTAGATATATATGTCATAGGCCATATGGAAAATTATTATTTTTCCAAACGGCCTACTGTTTTTCAGGCTTATTTCATATAGACTAACATCAGTTAGGTCTATTAGAACTAAAATATTTATAATATAGTGATAACCATTTTACTAATTTTATTTTAAGGATAATTTATTACTTTTACAAAAAAATATATCAATAGAGTTATTATAACATGTAAACTGAATAGTCTGAATAAGTACGGTACTTATTATATAGTATTATATTTTTTTTATAAACTGTACATCAATGGAGATTATCGGTGATGTTTAGATTATTTTAAAGTTTTTGACTATTGTATTATTAGTTTTATTTTACATTCATAAAAAAAAAAGAAAAAAAAAAAAAAATATAAAAAAATAATAATATTTACTTATTGTTACATGTGGTTTTTTCGTGTTACATTTTGTAATTATATTTATAAATTAAAATTGAATAAAATGTATTTATTTATATTTTCTGTTGTATACTATATAATAATTTGCTAATGTAATAATACATACTTATAAAGTTTACGTGTTATAACGATTCTATTGATCTTTTTTTTTTTTTTGTTTTAGTAATATATTACCCTTAAAATAAAATTAGTAAAATGGTTGTTACTATATTATAATGATTGTAGTTCTTAAAAGGCCTTACTTCTGTTTGTCTATATGCAATAAGCCTGAAAAACAGTAGGCCGTTTGGAAAAATAATAAGTAGTTCGCAAACGGGCTACCCCATTGCAAAGAGTCTAGTTTTTTCGCAAAAAGACTAATTTTCCATATGGCCTACGACATATATATATTTACAGTATACATATTAAATGAAAAAAACATAAGTGGTTTTTACTAAGTTATGTAATTCATTTTTAATTTGAAAGAGTTTTCATAATTTTAATTGCAAAGCATACAAATCATATTTAATTAACACTACTTTTATGAGTTTATTATGAAGTCTTATAATTACGACGTTTCACTTTACAAGAGACTATTAGTTTTATTGATTCTGTTTTTAATCATTTTTCCTCTAGTTTTCGTAACTATAGGTAACTAGGTCAAAAACTTACTGTGTCTAATTATTTACGCTTTCAGTATAGCAGATAAATCATCACTTGTAAAGATTAATTTTATTTTTATTTTAATAATAATTAATTATTTAATTTTGAATAATAATTTTAGATCGTAATTTGGATGACTGGCCATATGTTTTTAAAGACAATGGATTACCTAAACAATCGCCAGTGGACATATGTACAAAATACGCACAGCGACGATATTTACCATTTTTACGCTATTTCGGTTACTGGTCTTTTGAAAAGGCTGTAGTAAATATAACTAATACCGGGCACACAGGTATAAAAAATTTCTTGTTTAATTTGTAAATATTTGTAGTTTAATTTTTAATTTGTTAATTTGTTAATTTGATTTGTTACACATTTACCTATCTGATTTAATAGTTAACGTTAAACTTGTAAATAATTCCGAAGACATTCCATTTATCACCGGGGGGCCACTATTCGATTCTAAGTACGAGTTTGAGCAGATGCATTTCCATTGGGGTAAACACGATTTCGGAAGTGAACATAAAGTCAACGGACATCAGTAAGCAATATAAACTATATATTATAACTAAAATCGTGGTATCTACTATAAAGCATCGAAACTGCCTATCTATTCGTAGTATTCTGTTTTAAATTTTAAGCGCAGCGAGAAATGTATTGGTTTTACTATGATGTGTGCTTATTTTTCTGTCTATGAACAACATTTCTACTAGAAATATTGCTCCAGTCAAAAAAATGCTTCGTCAATTTTACAATACAATACAATACGTACAATTTTGTTTCTAACCAGTGCATTGAGGAGGTCATTTTTCTTGTGTTTATTAAAATAATTGGGGAAAAAAACAGTAAAAAAAGTAAGAAAAAAACGAGTAAACTTTATTGCAATGATTGTTTTTTTCTCGATTAAAAATAATTTTAGAATTTTAACACTTTTACAGAATACTTAAATATTTTTTATATATTCTAAACATGATACAATTTTCAACATAATCTAACATTTGTTGAGCTCTTTGTAAATATTCAATATTTCCTAAATTTTTAAATTTAAATTCGGGTTTATATGAAGAAAATTGTTTGGAAAAACAGAAATGCTTGAACACAAGATTTTAATGAATATTTTTTTTAGTCATGAAAAAAAAAGTTGAGTTTAATGTAGTCGATTTTTTTATAAGCGATTTATGCTCAAATTTTAACAAAAATCCTAAAAATTACGACATTTATATATTTAGCCGAACTTACTTAGAATTTTTTTTTGTTAGTAATGGTTTGTCGTTACGTACAAATATAAATCAAATTATAATTGTATGTATCTTATATTCCCAACTTTTTACCTATAACAGTGGCACATATATTCCCATTATCAGCTCTTTTTATTTATAAAGTCATTTAAATTGTCTACGATTAGTATGAAGATATATGGGGATCCCTAACTAGTTGAACAAATTTATTACTCTTAAAAATTGGATCATCTACCTACGTTTACACATTACCTATATAAAGAGTAGTCCCATTAAAATTAATTTCTGACTGTGATACATCATATTAAGATCTCCGATAACGCATGCTAGTTGTAATAAATGTTTTATAAATGATTGTTGATTGTACAATTTTGATAAGTTAACAAAATAAAATAATAAATACGCAATATTTATATAACCATAGCGTGCCTAGAAATTTTTTTTCTAGGAGAGAGGGGATAGATGGTTTAATATTTTTACTAGCGTATATTTCAAATGTATTTATTTCATTAGGTATAATTTTGGCTTATACAATATTCATACAATATACATATACAGTAATAATATTTATAAAAAAAAAAGTAATACAAATTGATAGTAAGTACATTTTTAATCATTTGTCGTAATAAATTGGTCATATTATAACACTTTAAAAATATTTTAGGTATGATAATAATAATAAATGGTATCAAATAAGTACCAAAGCATTCTATTTGTTAAATAATTGTATGACAAAACTTTTTGTTTTTTCTTGACTACCTTTACCGGTATCTGAATTAAATCTGAAAATAAAATACAAAACTTACATAGAGCCTTTTTTTTATTTCAGAATATACTAACCATGAATATCTTTTTATTTAACTCAATTGAAAACGTAAATTTAATTTATTAGTATTATATTTAGGAAATATAATATATAATATACATTTGGGGGACCTATGAAGATGTAAGTAATTGTTCACGTTTCAAATCATTTAAAATAATTTTTTTTTTCTCTTAAATTTATTTAGGTAATGTCTTGAGAATCGAGGTTAAATGATGTCACAGATAAATTTTTATTTTCAACGCTTTCAAGATTTTATATTACTGTCAGCATCAGCGACTTTTAACAATTTTATTTTATTGGAAAAATTCATTACTGTTCCTGACCTTGTCATCTTAAATACATTTTAATGGTTTTCGTACAAATCCCAATAAATAAAAAAATAATTAAATTATGAGAAAAGATTTAAAAATTCTTACAATTATAGTTCCCCCTAAGTTTCTCTACAGTTAATTCAGTTTGATATATTAATATATGTAACAAATATATTATATATTAGAGTAGACAAAAAATAGAACAAATTATATTATTCTAATTTTGTTGATCTTGTTCACTTTAAAACTGTACAGTGGACGTAGCCGAAATAAACCACGTTTAATTCTTTAGAATATGCGAGTATTATAAAGGTACATGTGCAATCGCGTATATGTAATTTTGATCGATATTATGTACTAAATAATGTGAATATGTGATATAATAAGTAATAAAAGATAAACGTTTTTGATTCATGTTCACGAACTATGGTCAATCTTATCTTTAATAGATCTATAGTCAATAGATCGACAATGGATAATACAAATAACCCTGGCGAATGTTATCAATAAACCTAAATTGTATACAAATATTAAGCGATACTTTTTTTCTAAATTCGTTAACATTTCAGGGGAGGTTTGAACACCCTATCCCCTCTTCCTAGGTATGCCTCTGTTAGCTGTCCCGCCCGGCGTTACGTAAGCCAAAAGAAATAATAGACAAATAATTATCATCGGTATCAACTAGGTAACCCATAAATTAACAAAAATAATACGATTTTCGAATCACAAATACCAATAACCCCCTTAAAGGATTGAATACTCATAAAAAAAATTCATGGTTTAGAATTATACATTATATAGAAAGTTTCAGTTCAGTTCAGCAGTTTTGACGTAAAACCCATTCACACCAATACACATCTATCCATAAATCCAAACAAACTTTTAAATTTATAATATCAGTGGGATAGAAATTTGCCGGCTATGTATACGATTCGGGCGTTTTCTACGATATCTGAGCATCTTATGCCCAGGAGTTACATAAAATATTCATCGTATATTGATATAGCAATACACATTTTGTAAGTAATACTATATTAAAATTTATTAGATTAAATTATTCAGTTATTTAGGTATTCATTCATATATTTACTATTTTATTGTATAGGATATTATTAGATAATATTTTATTTTTAGTTATGTATACAATTAATACATTATATTTAAATTTCGTTAAACATTTGTGATATTTGAACATTTTTTTTTAAAAGAACAATTCAATTTGCATTAGACTTTTTAATATTTATAATAAACTCGAATTGTAAGTAAGCATGTGAACTGAAAAATATAAATGATAAATCGATAATATGTGACTAAATAGTAAATTTTATACTACAGTAAAACCGCAGGTGGAAGGTAGATTTTATCAATTGTGACATTACGATAACGAAAATGAAAATTATTATTACAGTAAATACGACAATCACTTATGGTGCCAGTTTCCACATTTGGACGACCAGATGAGTATGGATATTTTTGTTATCAATAGAACATCAATCGTATATTACCTAGAAATGTATACTTGCCAATATACGATGGACATTTTATATAATATCCGGGGCTTTGTAGAAAACATCTCATATTGTATAATATAATATAATATATTTGTTATTTATTATTAATTGTACCTTGTACAATCTGTATGAATAAACTTTTGCAACACACGAAATTACGATAATATACGGAGACTAATAAGTAGGAGAGTAAATAAGTGGTAGTTGATTAGGCAATGGAACTTCGGAGTGTAAGCTGTGATTAGTCAGCTTTACACTATTTACGCTTTAAACGTACGTCAAGGTCAACTACTGGTATAGTGAGTGGGAGTAAATAATTAAAGATTGCTTTTAAGTAAACGAGAGCAGAAAGTCTATAAAACATATTGGTGACATTTTAAATTAGAAGTAGGGACAGAGATGTTTTTATGGCGTGTATACACCATAAAAACAGTAAAAACACACATACGACACAAAAAAGTGCTTTGATTATTTGTTGTAGGCATTTGTTTTGAATGATTTGTGTTCGATTAACATTTGAAGGATTTACTGACTTTCAAAAGACCATATTGGTTTGAAGATAAGTTTATAGAGGAGAATTTTATAATGGAGAATCATGTGTTTGGATAATATAAGAATTTATAGTTGACGGATTCTGTTGCTAAGAGTGCTTAGAACAAGACGTTTGGTTTATATATAGCTTATCCATGTTAATCAATTCGTCTTTGTGTGTTAATTAGTGATATTTAACATTTTAGACTTCTTCCAAAAATCGGCAATTTTTATAACATTATCTTTTAATTGTTTTCTGAAAAAGCATTTCTTCGTTCTTCTTATTGGTAGCATAGGCCATTCTAATAAATGATTCATGTTCTCATGTTCTCTTTCGTTCTTCTCATTTCCGATTGTATTCTGTTAATAGTCTTCCATGTACACCAAGGTTCAAGGTTAGATTAATCAATAATTTTCAATCAATATAATTTAGGTATAAAACTAGATAGCAAATATTTTTAGGAGAGGGTAATAGAAATATGCTGTTGAGTTAAATAGTAGGGTAGTTTTTAGATTTCAGAGTAAATATTCAATGATGAATGGATAGATTCATTAATTTTTAATTAAATATGAAATAATACATAGGTATGTTCAGGTATTTATTGGCATATACAGATTTTTTGTAAATAGTGATAATGATAAAAGCACTTATTTATAAGTTTTATAAAAAAGACTTTTAGTTTGTTAATTTTTTTTTTCTTTTTTAATACATTATATGAGGTTTACATTATAGACTGTAAGATCTACAGCGTTGTAAAGATTTACACGATTTTCGATATACACAACTTCGTTGAAACTTAACCACTGGTCACTGATTTTATGTTGGATAAGCTCGTGTTTCGAATTTTATATTAACCCTGGTAACTGAAACCGGAGCACTATAGTTTTAGTTATTTTAGTTATTAAAAAAAGTAACTAACTAAGAACAAATGTTTGAAAATTTTGTTTAAATATTTATTCCAAACTAGATCGTTATGATTATACCTGTGTATTTCTTTAAATAAATAGTTATTTAAATAAAGTGTAATTAACAGAATATTATACTACTTATTTAATTTGTAATTATATTTTATTTAAATGTTAGATATGCTATGGAAGTTCATATCGTACATTATAAAAAAGAGTACGGAACTTTTGAAAATGCACAAAATTATTATGATGGATTATGTGTAGTCGGATTTTTCGGAGAGGTATTCGATATATTATTATTATTAATGCAGGATTATCAACATAAAATAAGACACTCATTAGCTCGGAAGTTATTAACTTTTTTTCGGAATTTGTTCTTTAGATAATTTAAGAAATAAACAGCTTTAAAATGATATACTGCTCTTATTTTATTACACTTATTTTAGGAAATAAAACCACTACTCTTTTTTGATTTTCAAATGGAAACCTTTATTAAAAATTCAGATGGAGTATTAGTTTAAACAAATTTCGGTATTGAAACATTTAAAATTCCGTCAACCCACTGATGAGATATTCCATTTTTAAGTTTCGGTGGAGGAAAAATAGTGGTGCACTATATATATGTGTAGAAGCATTGCGCGGCGAGCGGTGTTTTAATACTACTCGTATTTCATAACTCTCCACTTTATCTAAACTTAAAAATGGAATATCTCGTTAATGGATCAACCATCATTGAATTAAACAAATACTCCATTTATATTTATGGAAAATAAGGGTGAAAAAAAAAGTAATTTATTTATTTAACATTTATTAGAGCTACTTATTTCTTAAATGTTCTAAAAACCAAATTCTGAAAGAAGTTAATATTTTCTGAGATAATGAATTTCTTATGTTATGTTGATCAACATATTATACTCTTTTAAAATTATTATTTTTATGATTAAAATTAAAATATTTAATGTGTTTAGTATTATAACAACAAAAATAATAATACAAGCTTTAATAAGTTTTATGACTTTTTAAGATATCAACAAAAAATAATCGAGAAATGGAAAATTTCATAACTGATTTAAGACATTTAATCCAACCTAATTCAAACATAATTAGAAATTTTAAAGAAGAATTTTCTTGGATAAAGAAAACAGCATTAAAACAACATTATTACACATATCCCGGATCACTTACTACTTCACCGTTCACAGAATGTGTAATTTGGATTGTTTTTACCAAACCCATTAAGATTTCTAGAAAACAAGTAAATTAAACAAATTTCTATTTAACAAATCTACAATTTTTTTTTTTATTTTTAAATATTTATTTTATTTTAATATTATAGTTAATGGAATTCAGAAAATTGCATTCAAGTCATAAGGGCGTATTAATAAATGAAAACGATAGAGAACTTCAATCATTTAACAATAGAACAATTCTTTATGGATACTGAAATTCTAAATCATTACATATACATTTCATACAGATACAAAATTTTACCCACGTCTTACATAATATTTTAATACTGTACAGTATTTACTTTTTATAAGTTTTAATTTATGTTAATGACTTAATAATTTGTTATGCATACTATACTAACCTGTTTATTTTCAACGCAATTGTTTATGAGTTATTGCTAAAATGTATTTTAATTTTTTTAAGTTGTTGATAATAAATTAAAACACCCACTCTAAACCATGGTTTGATTATTCATCGGAACGAATACGATAAAATAAGTAACAATCGTGAGTCCCATATAATAGTGAAACATAATATGGTATTATTTTTAAGCACAAATAAGTCTTATAATGATATTTAGTTTTTTTTTCTGTAAGTAACTTTTTTACCTAGAATCTTGCTCCGATTATCAATTACATTTTCTAAAAGAGTTCTGTATATGGGCGGTACTTTAGGGAAGTCTCTTAATTTAAATTTGTATTAAATTTGTCATTCTCCTTTTCATATGTACCCATTTGTAACCAACTTTTTAAAATTTGTAAACTCGCCGTACCAGAGTGAAAACTATTTTCTCAAAGAGAAACAATCCCCCCCCCCCATCAACTAAAACTATTTAAAAACATTTAAAACCCATTAAGCTACCATTTATAACCGAATTTTTAAAATGTATAACTTTGCTGTACCAGAGTTATGATCATTTCCAGGGTCTAAACCTCGTAACCAACTAAAATAGCTTTCGATTCTCATATAAAGTTAGCAGTATGTTTCTATAGTACTAATAATCAGGGTCAAAATCCTGGATAGAAAGAGGTCATTTTCCAACGCTTCATACGTTATCGAAAATTAAACTATAGGCACAAGAGTGTCAAAAACTAGTTTGTGTATGTATTTTGTTATTTTGTTGTGAAGTGGAGAGGCTGACTTCACACACGTGGTACTTCAGCAATTTCCATGATCAAGCCACGCACGTGATACTAATTATCGGGATGGGGTCACTTTTCCCGAAACCTCGGAAGAAAAAATTAAAACACTTAGATAATAACCAATTACACCAACTTTAACTAAATCGAACATTTTCATACGGGAATCTAGAATTACTAAATGCACAAATGTGAAATGCATTATGTATTTTGACTTTATCCAGTTTTTATGTTAATACAGTCGTAAAAACAGCACCTAGAAATCTAGCAGGGTCACTCGGTTGCTGCGTTCGCTTGGACTGTTTTAATCGAAAATAACTCTCGATTTGTTATAAAAAACCACGTCGGGTAGGTAATAGAAAAAACTGATAATAATTTACTGAAAATATAGTTTTCTAAGTTAGTATACCTGATTCAGATTTGTTTATCTTCGGATCCTTATCTTCAAAAAAAGGGTCAGACCCCCTAATTATCGTATACTAACAGTGTTGTCATTTTTAGAAATCAATATGTCTCAACTACATACCTAGTACTGACATGTGCATATTAAGTGTATGTTAGTAATAAACCTAATTAACTAATTTATTACATTTATCAATTATCACTATATTAGATTTTGCAGGAAGATAACAAAGATATAGATGATTTTATTAAGAATATTCGAGGAATGTCCGTTTCAGAGACTGGCTATACTGGTCCTTTTGATAAATTTACAAACTTTGACGAACTCTACTCTTGGTTAAAACCAATTGCTCTAGAAACTCAATACAGTGTTTACCCTGGATCATTATGTTTAATGTCATTTACTGAATTTACATTATGGATTTTGTATATAGATACATTTTCTATAAGTCAAAACCAAGTAAGTTATTAAGTAACTCTTTATACTGTAGGGGTGGAGTGGTAACCAAATTTAGTCTGAGGGATTAAAATTTATCTAAGTCACCCAATAAAATATGTACCAATCAAAAGCAATTTTTCTCACATTTTGATTATAACCTGCAGTTGTGAAGCGAGTATTTTGAATTGATGGTCGCTAAATACGTTTTTACTTTATATACGGGCAAAGAGAATTGGGGCGAGTTTAGACCCACCCAAGAAATTAAGAAAAGAGATTTAATATAAATACACATTTTAATGTAATAATTGAAATGATTATCAACATATTAAGAAAAACTTAATAGAAGTAATTAAAATATTATGTATACATATCAGGTCAGCGAACCATAATACGATACACGCCATTTGGAATATTACCATTTCCAAACCGGCTACTCCGCTCCTAATTTATAGCCTTTTACATTAAATAACCACGTTCTATACTAATACTTTTATACTTACAGTTAAGAAGACTCAGACAAAATATAAGACATTCTTCTCAAATGGAGAAAATCGATTCACAACCATTTTATGATCGGCCACTTACATTTAATACCGTGTAATTTAAATTTGACTTGTAATATCATCTACCTTATTGGTTATCTACCTCATGTCGTATTTGTATATGTCGTGTTTGCAGGTGCACCACATGCCATTTTATCAGAATAATATTTTTTTATTTTTTTTAGAAGCTGATCGCTATAAATTGTTCATTAAGAATATCTAGATGCCATAAAAAATTATTCAAAAACCCATGTCATGAACATAATATTATTGCTCCTAAAGTAAAAACACTTATGCAATATGCACACACCAATCGGTGCACAACACTGTAACATCCTGTGACGCCTGTATAAAATTTTTATTGACAAGTGGGGGATCCAGAAGTACAATGCAACTATAAGGTGCCCAGCTATTACAGCGAACTGATTTTTAAAATAAACGTTATCTACGTTTAATTTTGAGGTTTTTCTATTTGTATTCTGATTTCTGTATCGAATGGTACATGTAATATGTATTTTACATTTTTAGTTTTTACCCGTCATAGTGAATTCTTTCCTCTTAGAATTAACACGTCATTATTTCTTTAAAAATGGATTCATTAGAAAATCTTTTGAACAAAAAAATTCTCCCTTTATACAAATAACGATAAACATGTTATATCATAATCATTTCTTATTAATTTTGAACATCGCGAGCCGCCACTGGCTGCACCATACTTAATAAATACGCGCTCTGTCATATCATCGACAGCGCATAATACCACGACCTAGCTATAGTCTATACTGACTTATTCACTAGCATCCACTTTTTAACGATAATAATTGTTTTATTTTACAATAAATAATATAATAATAATAACAAAAAAATATTACTAAAAAATAGACACGTGGCGATAACCTGATCGTACCTACCACTTTAATATATCATCATAATCAACATAATTAAATTTGACCATACACCTGTGCCCCATATTGGTACTCCATTTAACCCTCTTTCTTAATAACTACCTTTATATTCTTCTTTTTATTCTACTACATTTAATTTATCCATATCTTCAGGAGTATATCTTTGACTTTTAAAAAATGCAATATTAATTTCTTTACATAAGGGAGATGATAGAAAAAATCGCAATAATTATAAGCCTATTTTTCTTACACTATCAGTATCTAAACTTTTTGAAAAATGTATTAAAGATAGAGTCATACATATTTTAAATACAATTTTTTTTTAAAAATCAGTTTGGTGTTATGAAAAAAAATCCAAAACTGAGGCTTTAGTTGCTATGTGGACCATATTTGTAAGTATTTAGGTTGTAACAAAAAAGTAATTGATATATTTATAGATATTAAAAAAGTGTTTGATTCAGTTAACCATCAAGTTTATTAAATAAATTAGAATTTTTTTGTATAAACGGAATAGCTCATAGTCTTTTTAGGTCATATTTAAATTCAAGGTAACAGAATTCAAGACTAAACAATATCCTTAGCCAAACAGTTAGAGTTAACTTTGGTGTGCCTACCACAAGAAAGTGACAGTAATTAAAAAATAGTAAAACAAATTTACAAAAGGTATAAATAATTTAAAAAAACCTTATAATAACTCATGTTTTGTATCTAAAAATATTGTTTGTTTCGATTTTAAAAATACTGTACACAGTAGTTATTATAATTATATTATAATAAAATACATATTAACAATAATTATTCGATGTCTAACTGTCTGATAATATTTCTATTCTAACCAGTGTAAAACCTAAAAATCTTAAGTTAATTTTTGATAGGAAACTGACTTGGTGCCCCAATTCTTTCTAAAATTGTATCCATAATATCCATTTAATACGATGGATATCACCACTACCTAACCTGTCTTAATTTAACTAATAAATGTATCAATATTACTATAATACTTAACAATTTAGTATAGTTGTACAAAACCTACCTATTTGATACTATAAACATAAATGGTGATTGGGTTGCATTTCAGAGGAATTTACACTTAAACAAAAAAAGGTTTTATATTTTAATAGTGCAATAAAATCACAAAAGACTATATTACTATAACATGCTTTTAGATTTCATTAGTTCATTACCTTTTATTGTCTATTGCATAATATAAAACATCTATTTCAATTGTTATACTAAAAAATATATTTTCTAGTTTACTAGTTTACTATGTGTATATGTGTATTATGTGTATTATGTGTACTATGTATGTATAAAAATAAAATAAATAATGAATGCATTGCCTGGAGTATTATAATAAGTGTATTACACTCCAGGTGACGTATTCATTAATTAATTTATTCTATTTTTTTATATAATTTGTTTATTTTTATATTTATTTACTATTTTTATTTATAAATATTTATTTGAGAGTAATAACCATTTTGATAATTTTGTTTTTAGTTTATCATTTTATTATTTTTATTTTTATAGAAATATTTTTATTTTTTGTTTGTTTTTATCACAATCTGTGAAATTATATTTACAATAAGCACAAGTGAAAGAGGTTAACAGTTTACAAGTATCGATACTGTAGGTGTGAGTGAAGAGGTCAACCATTGTTGTATAGAAATATGCATACAATTAAATTATGAGCATTTAATTTTATTAGTTTTAGTCATGAAAAGCTCGCCGATTTTAAGCTTATTTAGCTTTGTTAAAGGTTTTTATGTTGAATTTAATAATATTAATTAGTTGAATATACAGGATTTTCTTCAAAGATACATCCAATACGATATCTCGGAATGTATTACATTTTTTCGAAATTTTTTTTTGTACAATTTAAGAAACAAGCAGCATTATATGTTGTATTACCATAATTTTTGTCATTCTTAGTTTTTAAAAATTTCAACTGTATACATTTCGTCCTAATTTAACTTAAGTATCCAAAGATTTAGAGTAACCACGACCAAAGAAGCTTTGATTAATTTCTTAGTTTGTTTCCCGTGGTTTCCTGGACTGACCGGGAGACCTGCTTCATTACTCGATCGACTAGATAACCAAGACCTCTCCGCAGTTCTGGATATTATTAGTGTCGTGAATTTATTCGCCGTCGTGAAGCTAACATGAACAAAGTCTCGCAAGCGGGCGATTCTCTGCAGTACTTCCCGGCCGAGGGTGTACTGGTGAGTTTCGAAACTACAGGTTCGGCTCTCCACTTGATATATCAGGATCTTTTCGTGATCCGACTTCCGGGTCACATCGCGAAATGTCTTCGGTATGTCCACTTACCTCTAACGGAGATTGTGTTATCAAACGTGTGTCGGTAGACTCCTGGCTACCTCCGGTTTGGACTTATCATCTATTTCATCCCGGGTTAGGTGTCGGAATATGTCCGACCTTTAACATTAATAAAAAGTAGTGGTTTCCGGAGCCCCGGTGTCGATCCATGCTCTAACTTGTGCTGTGGTTAGCGTCGTGCGTTTGGCTTTGGACGAACTTGTGGGTTTCGTTAGATGATGATGATTATACACCCAGATAGCGACTGAATCGTGAGCAGACGGGAAGCGGAAACTGGGACCACTCTTTGGCGTAGCGAATACGCCCAGGGCTTGCCCTGTCACGCCACCGGCTCTTGAATGGCACCTTAGCGCTAAAATAAGGTCCGGTTTGTCTTATCCTTATCTGCGGTATAAGAATTCAAATCAAGGGGGCTACTGTCCCAATTTCGTTCCAATGACAAATAACCTGATCGTTACAGGTAAGTATTGAGATAATTTTTAACTAGTTACTCATATTAAATCATAAATCTCCACAGTATACCGGACTTTCGAGTGTTTGCCACTTAAATGCACTCCATAAATCAAACACATTTAACTTGTTATATGTAAAGCCACGCCCAAAGAATAACAAGTTATGATGTGGCTCTTAATATTATATACCTACAAGAATTCACATATACTTTCAAAAAAAAAAAAAAAAAAACAAAATAAAACCGTTATATTCCACACTCTTATATTATATTATATAATATTTACAATATTATGTTTTAAATATTTTAAATATCCATTTAAAATATATTTTTAAAAAACCTGTTGCCTACTCGGCGGGCTGTGATGTTTCTTTACACGAGGACGTTTCATTAGTTCAGTACAAAACGATAATTCCAAAGAGCTCAAAAATTGGTGTTAAACATTAAATCGCATAGCCATTGGAGGAGGTAATAAGATATAACCCCCTTTCTGGAAATGGTTTTTGATAGCTACTTTTAAAGAATTTGAAAAGTACATTGCGTATAATTATTATTAAGTGCTACATATTTTATACCATTAAAAAATAATAAAATATTTTCAATCTTCATATAAATTTATGGAAAATTGATTTTCACACCAAGTATAGCCTATAGGTAGGCGTGTGGTTGAGTTGAAAAATTAAACCCTCCCTCTTCACATACTCATTTTGGACATACAAATCGACTAATTATTTATTTGTAAGATAGCATGTATGTTTTTCTGTATTTAGGCCGCTGCTCGCTTTGCAAAATAAAATAAATAAATAAATCAAATTATCCATTATCCAAATTGTATTTATAACTTATCTATATATTTAATAATATTATTCGCACTTAAACAGCAGTTAGGAATTACATTACATTTAAATTTATGTGTGGTTTATAGTTAAAGTTTAATGCAATTAATAATAGGTGACAGCAGTCTTTATTATAGGACTGAGATTAGTGTCAACAAATTAAAATGTATAAAGGTACTTTGCATTGAGGGAGTGCTTTATTAGATTTTCCATTATTACAATAATGGCGTCTTAAATGCCGTTTCCTGTTTCCATTGACGTAATTTTTATTGGTATACAAAACCAGTAAATGGTTCAGATCCTATTATATGATTAGTTTTTCAAAATATTATTGTAATGAAACGAAATTTTCAGTTTTTCATTATAGTACGCAATACGCACTATAAATATTTACTATAGTAGTAGTAGTAATAATATCTATTATGGTACTATATGTACTGATCTGAGCAAAAGAATATAATTAGCTTCTCATATGTGATAAGTAGGTATCTATATCACGTATATGTATGTTAGAAGACAGAAGTCGAGTTAGAATGTTTAAATAATGATTGAGTCAACATATTTTTGGCAGCTAAATAGTATTTAATTTATTATTTATAATTGATTAACTATTTATTTCAATATAATGTTTGTCAATTATAAAAATTTTCAGTAACTTGATTATTTTTTTTAACAGTATCTTCAAAGAATCAGGTAACAATATTAAAATTAATAACTATCTTTTACTATCCCATCAAATTTCATTAATGAGGTATCGATAAAACTATTGAACGAAACTTTTTGAACATTTTCGTGGTTCCGAAAATCTCAGAAAATAATACATTTTTGTACGGTTTGAAATTAAAAATATATGTGAATATCTTAAACTAAAATATTAATTACCTAGCTGTGGAAAAATAAAATTATTAGTTGTAATTCAAATATTTAGTCATATAGTTTAACTGTACGTTATTAAATACGGTGGTGCAAATAAATAAATTATACATATGATATTTATTAAACAGATTTAACTACTCGTATGTGAATACGAGTACCACCTAGCTGTTATATTTTTCCTGTAGATTTATCGTAACTCATCAGTTGTTGTTATTCATATTATTATTATCAACTAGGTATCAATTTATTTGTATTCTATTAAAATTTAAATCCTTTCAATACTTAAAATTTGTTATAGAATTTATTGTATATTTTATTTATTATATCTAATTATAAATTTATTTTACAATATTATAATTTATTAAAAATTGATGTTGTTGCATTGAAATGGTGAACATATTATTCTTGTTCTTATATTTATCAACTTTAAATTTAAATGTTCAATCTTTGGACTCAGGTAAACGATACATATATTCAATATATTTATATGTTTATTTATAGTAACTAATTATTTAATTATCTTTTGACGATTTAATTGCGTGGAAAAAAAATAGGTACCGAAAACTTAAACGGCTTGAACAATGCAAATCCTACTGATCAATCTATGTTATGGCCATTCGTCAAAATTCATTTTAAAGACCAGCAAGTGCAGTCACCGATTGATATACTAAAGCAATGTTCATATGAACTGAGCATTTCGAGTTTATTATATTATGACTATTGGCGAGACGAAAGTGTTTTAATTAAAATAATAAACAATGGGCAAGCACGTAAAAATAATTTATTCATTTTTTTCGACATAAATTAATTTAAAATGAATGCAAATAATAATTCAAATAATATTTGTCCAATGTTTCAGTTTATGTTCATACTCTTCACTTTGGGTACCAAAGTAGATATTTAGAAATTGAAAATAAACTTGCGATTATAACTGGTGGACCATTATTTGATAGCTTATATGAATTTAATCGAATGTATTTTTACTGGGGCGATGTAGGAGAATGCGGCAGTGAAAATCAAATGAACGATCAATTGTAGGTACATTTACACGTTTGTTCATAAGATGTACGATAATAATAAATTGTTTTTTTATAGTATATTTAATTATTTTTTGACGTTTTAAATGAAATTAAAAAATAGAACCTGGAGCGCTATTTTATTTTCTTATAAGGTATGGTGAGATCGATCCTTTCTGTCAGACCAATTTCAAAAGGGATGTAAATACAAACTCTGCTACCCACTAATAGCGACACTGTGGTGTATACAATTGTTCATTTTAAAACTATATATTTTATATTTAGTTTGAATAAATAATAATTTAATATGTTTTAGTAGAATTGTTAATGAAGATGAGTGATAGAAACTGTAAAATAGCAAAAAAAAAAAAAAAAAAAAAGGAAACCTATAGGATAATGATGGGGACGGGTGCGGACGTGCAGTCACTGTTGTAGGTGGGAAGTTGATAAGGTAGGATACAGACGGAAATTTAATGTATATCTGTAAGCAACAATTAACTATTGTTAACAAAAAAACGATTCTGAGCGAAGGTCAGTTTATAGTGTTGCTTTATCAACAATGTATATGTAATATTAATTACTATGGTAAAATAATTACATATGCATTAAACATTTTCTTTAATACTATTTGTTTAATATTGTACCTAGTTTCCCGTTCTTCCGTTTTTATCAGGTTTTTCCAATATATTGGGAAAACTCCTAAAAAAATCAAAAAATGGCCTCAATAAAGTACCACCCCAGTTAGATTTTCTTTCTAGAAATGTGCTACACTTTTTATTGGAGCAATATTTCTGGTAGAAAGTTGTTCACAGATAAGAAAAAAAATAAGAAAAATCACTGGAAAACCATAAGTTTGTTCGCTCTATTTAGAATCTAAAAATTATCAAATGTATAAAAATATACAAACATTTTATCACAAGGTGTTTTATATTCTATAAAATTAATTTCTTCTCTTATAAAATATGGAACTATAATAATTTGTTCGGTATCTGAGTGTTTTATTTAGTAATAGTTGGTAGGTAGATCTTATACAATTTAATTCAATATAGTATGATATTATAAAGACAATTATTAGTAAAAATTCAGACGTTTAAATGTGATATTTCTAAGAAAAAAAATTTTAGTTACAGCAATGTTCGTACTTTAGTAGTAGTAATTTATGCGTTTCTAGTGACGTTTTTATTCTTTGTATCAGTTTCAGTAAAATTGGAAAAAACCTCATACATCCACCAAGCCTAGAAGAATCAGGGACCGTATTTACGGCCACCATAATAGATGATCTTAGTTCAACCTTTTCATTAACTCATCTTATGATAAAGTTTCAGTGTTTCCCCCCTTCGCCAAATTTGGTTATGAAGTAGCTGCTTCATAGGATACTCATTCACGCGGTCATTGTTTCTTCGTCTATGTATATTACAATAGCTGTATTATATTAATGCATATTCATTAGATTTGTATTGAGCTATTATCCCGGATATTATTGTAATACATTTTTTTTAGTTATGCTATGGAAGTTCAAATGGTACACTTCAAACAAGAATATGGCTCTTATGAAAATGCTACAAGATATGATGACGGTATTTGTATAGTATCATTTTTTGGCCAGGTACGTGTACGGTTATGATCAATAATTGGATAAATGGATTTAAAACGAAAAATATAAAACATGTTTTAAGTAATCGTATAAATTAGATAATATATAGATATTATTATTGATATAATATTTATTAGGTATTGAATACCCAAGTAGGTTATAAAAATAATAAAAAATGTTAAATTTTCTAGCGGTTCTTATACGTAACTATATTTAGAAAGTGTTATACCTACATATAATATTAATAATATTTAGAAAGTCATTGTGTTACCTATTTAAATTCATATACCTACAATCAACATATTATATTACGCATAGATGTCTTCATTATTGTATTATTTTAAATGGGTGCCTACTTTTCGCTTTTATCATTGAATTTTTTGGGAAATATCTACTAGTTTTTTAATCACTGTGATGAATTTTTTTTTAACAAGTCAGAGGTGGCTGCCTCTCGAGTTTAATTACCCCTTTCGTTACGACACTGAGCAATAGAACGAACTTTGAATTTTTTTTTTTCATTGGTTTACAGTTTCTCTTGATTACACAGATAACATAATATTCATATAATATTTCAAATATTTAAAACCGATTTCTTATATTGTGTTTAGATATCAGATGAAGATAACATTGATTTGAAAAATTTAGTCACCAATTTGAATGTTATTCAAACGTCCGACCAATATTTGGTTGGGAGATTCAACAATTATTTTTCATGGTTATTACCGATAGCTGAAGAAAATCAATACTACACATTCCCCGGATCACTAACTAAGGATCCATATACTCAATGTGTAATATGGATTGTATATAAAAATACATTCAAAATAAGCCAAACACAAGTAATTTATTTTGGTAACTTTTTGTATTAACCATATTGACATTTTTATTTTACTTGTATCTATAGTTGTCGACTTTTAGAACATTAGTCGGAAGTGATCAACAAATGATAACGTCTACAAAAAGAAGAGAAATACAACCGTTAAATAATCGGCCACTTTGTTGGACGTAATTAATTCAATTTGCCTGTAATACTAGTTGCAGTATAATAGTGTAAAATCATATTAGTTTTACTTTTTAAACTAATATGATTTCCGGTAAAATACCTATAGTTATATCTGCAATTATACCTATAGTTTATATTATTAATATTCATTGTGTACACTGCTATGACAAGTTACAGTGCATCTTATCGTTATTTTTATTTTTGGTTGTATTTTAATAAAAATAACGTATTGATTAATAATAATGTACATTTCTTTATCCATTATTTAGCCAATATAGAAGGCTATTATAATTGTTGTTCTTATATAAAATAATCTACCTGTTTCAGTTTGGTACTTACTCGGTAAATATATGTTTAAGCATGCGTAGACTTCGTCCACGTGGTCCCAAAATGTAATTATATTAATATTATGCATTTACGCACACCTCCCTTCAATAAAATATAATTAAATAATCACACTAAGTTTAATCGCGGTAATTTAAAGTAATAGAAAATGTAAAAGCAACCTAAGTTTAAGTATGTATATTGAACAATACTGGCCACGTATAGGTATGTAAATCAGCAGACTATGCAGTGGTATGCATACCCTGCATACACCGTGCGCGCGTCTATAACGATTGTAAAACTATATGTAATAGTATTATATCAATATTATACAATAATAATATTGATTTAAACACTATCAAAGATCGAATGTACGTTGATTATTTTCCTATACAATTATTATGATTTATGAAAACTGTCGACTAAATAACATTATTTTTATCGAACCAACTGTAAAAGTACAGTTTTCTTGGGTCTCTAATTAATTTTTATAGCAGGGGAAAAAAAATCTCAAAATCCATATGCAACCGATGATTGCAATTTGTATACCGCATGCAATATCGAGGAAGCGGCAAACGATTGTATAAATATACAGTAGTACAACCGTTCCTATAAATTATATTATGCAGGTATAATATTATAATACTATACCTACTCTCGTACTTTAAAAAACAGGTCTTGCAACTATTGTCGCAAGAATATGTTATAATTATCTATTACGTAGGAAAAAAACGCATTGTATCTAAATATTTTTAATTTTAGTCTTTTTCGAAATTGATGAGTGGCTGAAGTAGAAAAAAAAAAAATGATCAAACGCATTTTTATTAATAATTATTATGATTATAAACCTTACCTACCTTCGACCTTACCTATATATCACGTGCCGTCATTATCATTATTATTTATTAATAATGAGTAAATACTACGTAATCTATAACCGAATAGGTAATATTCGGCAACGCTGTATACCCGCAATACGCTAACACAAATAATTTGTACAGCTGCAAAGTGCAGACCGAGTAATGACGAGCAATAATCATAATATTAATATGATAAACTATCAACAAATTATTTATAATTTATTATACAAAAACAATTACAATTTTAATAAATAAATTAATAACAAAATTCAAAAACGGATTACCGTATTATAACGATACTTATCTACTACTGATACCGACAGTGACTTATTTAGCTTTACGTCTAGACTAATTTGTTTTCCAGCTTTCTCCAAAACATTCTTCCAGGCGTTCCTTTCCCATTCCATTATTGCATCTTTTATAAATTGGATTAAATTTCCTTTTTTGTGCCATTGTTTCCGTAGCTCATTTGACCTTCTCTCCCGCGCTATAAACTGTCATGGTTATAACCTTGACACGATATAAAATGTCCTTAACACTTTTCTCTCAGAGATATTTAGTTTATTTTCATATTATGATGTTTTAACACAAGTATATAGCACTCAAATAACACAACTGGTCTAAAATAAGTAGTTCATTGGTTTATTTGGTTTTCTAGACAGCAACTTCGACTTGAAAATATGTGACATATCAATGTAACATATATTTCTAGTTTTCAGATGAAAATTGATTTCGTTATGAGGCTTGGGCCCGGAATAGTATGCATTTGCATATTTTAGATTCTGTGGGGACCGAGGAAGGTATTGGTTCTACAATGATACTTATTTTTTTTATTTATTTACTGTGTACAAAAATTCTACCAGAAATTTTACTTTGATGTATCAAGTGTAGCACGTTCTCTGAAAAGGAATTTTATCTAGTTGGTACTTTGAAGAATTTCAAATGAATTTTTTTGAATAAAAAACAGTGCAGAAATGTATGCATATTTCGTAAGTTTTTAGTGCATATATTTTCGGGGCTTAGTTATGAAGGTTATGAGAGGGGCACAATGAGACATGGGACAATTTGAGACAATGTAAATATATAGAGAAATAAAATCTAGCGTTTTATACAGATATGTAACGATACATAATGTTAAATGTAACGTTTTCATTTTGTAGCGGTTTGATTCTGATAACCTGGATTATTTATATCAACATTTCCCGCAATTTTGTTGTCAAAACGAAAAAATACAATCGCCGGTTTTTTTTGTGTTGTGCAATTTATTTAAAGGTGTACGTATTTATTATATTATATTAATTAGAAGAAACAAATACATATTCTGAGATTTATTACACATAAAACTTTGCGTTTAAGTACTTCTTTTAAAAACTAACCTTAAAATGGATGTGTGGGACACTATAAGATGGGCACAATAAGACACATTATCTTTTTACTATTAAATTGTTATATTATGTTTTGTATTTTTATTTAAAATGTAACAGAACAATTTGTAAGAATGAAAATATTATAATATTATATAAAAAGGTTTTTAAATATCATATTGTTATGTTTTTTTTTGTTTTTTATTTATGAATTTATTTTATAACTTTTAAAATATGGCTTTTGGAATCTTGAAGTTGTTTAGAAAGTCAAAATCAATAAGGATTCCACAAAATGAGTCCTTCTTTAGGAAACTAATGAGGATTTCCAGGATAATGGTACTAATAGAGTGGCTATATTATATAGTGTATCTAATTTAGTTTTAAATCCTGAATAGAACTAAACAAATCATTGTAAACAAAATATTTTAGATTTTAAATGTATTTCGGATAAACATTTCTTGCCGAATTTAAACTGGACATTTTATTAATTTGTAACTGAAAATAATTTATTGTTTTATGATAGATTTATTATTTGAAATTTTGAACTTTAAACGTTCATTTTTCGGGCGATGGTGTACGCAATCTCGTATACTTCCACGTGTTGTAGGTCGCTGGGTCTATGGTTTTCATGGCCGGTGGCGAGTTTTCGGTGCGCAATGTCATTTTTATAATGTTCACATTTGCGCGTAATGTTAACATAATATAATTACATTGATAGGTAGGTACAATATCCTATCAATCAAATATCGATTTGTATTTGACTACAATAATTTGTTGCGGTCGGTTTTGTAGTCATACACGACGATGTGTTCTCTTTCGAATACGACGAAACTACAACTGTATTGTAACAACTAAATGTATTCTTTTTGGCATGGATTTAATATAATCCAATGATTACCAAAGCTGGGCAAGTTAACAAATTTTTTTTTTAATTAGTTTAAGTTAAGTTATTCTAAAAATAAAGCAAATAAGTAAAAATTTAAATAAATTTGAGAAATTAAATAAAGTTACACATTTTCAGGAAAATGTACGTTTAGTTGAAAATTATTAGTGACTTTTATATTGGTTTTACAATGATATTTTTTTACTTTTTTTCCGTGAACAACTTTTCTACCGACAATTTTAATCCGATTTTCAATTATAGCACTTTTTCTGAAAGGAAATCTGACGGGGTGGAACTTTAGGGAAGTCATTTTTTAATTTTTGTTTTCATTTAATTGCTGTTTTTTTAATCAATAGGAAAACAGGGAAAAAAACATAAAAAAACCGGGAAAAAACGTAGGAAAAATGAGAAAATAGGTACAATGTTAAACAAATGATATTATAAAGAAAATATATGATGCATATGCAATTATGTTATAATATAACTTATTATGTATTGTTGACAAAGCAACATTATTAACCGAACTCTGCTTTGAATCGTTTTTCATTAGCAATGGTTACTCGATACGTAAAATTATACATTCAATTTCTCTTCTACCTTATCAACTTTTCACCTACAACAGTGGCCTATTTATCTTGCGAATGTCCGTATCTTTTTTTTTTTTAATTATCCTGTTATTTATTTATTTTGTACGGCGTATACAATAGACACAATAAAATCTCAAATTACAGCAAATCATAAAGGATAAAATATATCAATATATTTAAAAAAAAAATGATAATCTTACACAGTTATATAAGTAGAAGACAAGTCAGAATATAGTTTGTTTAACCATTCTATGGCCTCTTTACTCTTTAATAACTTGATAGATTTCTATAATTCCTTGTTAAAATAGTTTCTCTGAGAACAAATTAAAAGAAGACACTACAAAACCTAAAAGAAATAGGGTGTTTATTTTTTCTTTTTTTAGATTCCAAGCGTGGAGAGGGATTTATTAGTTTTACAGTGCTGTTTATTTATTTTTCTTTGTTCTAGACTGTGGATACGTTTTTACCTAGTAAACTTACTCTGATGTATAAGTGTAGCACTGTTTTTGAAAACTCAAGTTATCTAGATTTTGATTTTCGATGCCATTTTTTAAATAAAAGCACTTAAGTGGGGAAAAATGTATGAAAACATACAATTTCACGATTTCATTATTTTATAAAAACGTGGACGAAGTTTACTACCAGAAAAAATGATTTAATCGAAAAATCACAAGACACCTTTTTTGTTGCCTTTTTGATTTACTTTCTTACGGTATCGCTAACACTTTTGAGCCACTTTTGAGCTTTTAAGGATATTTCATTTTTGGGATTTTTTTTTACTGTAAATCGGTTAAAAGTTACTTTATCAAAAAAGTAACTTGTACCTTACATTTTAACTATAGTTACTGTGTAGTTTATTATATTTGTAATATTGCAGCGGTTTTGTACCGCGTATTATAGGTACTCGATCGTGGTTTTAAGAGTTTTATTATAGGCACCTATAATGTGTTCGTTTAATTCCACATTATCGACCGTTTTGCTGTGAATACTGAATATACTCGTAATTTACACCCTATAAGTACATAATTAATAAATATTATTCGAGAAACCGATACGCGAATCGACAAAGCTGATCGTATTAGGTCTGGTATGTAGATTACGTTTACATAGGTAATTTTATTAGCCGGCATCAGTGGCATTGTCTAAATTGTTTTGAAATTATTGTACTTTTAACGTTAGATATGTTTATAACACAGCGTTTTTGTATCACGATAACCTAAAGAGAATATTACAAGTAATACTATACTGATAACGGCGTCGCAGTCAATTGCCTTTCCTCCATATATTATGAGTATATCGGAATATTTCATATTATTATTACGATTCACCTCAATCGAGGGCTTAAGATAAAGGCGAATAATTGGCTATCAATTAATACCTATTATATATTACCGAATAATAAGGCATGAAAAAATCACGTATTCACGAATGACTAATAATTAAAAATCAATTTACCTTACGATTTACCTAACTAACGATTACTATATATCATGTTATTTTTAAATAAAATAGGTATGCCCATCTTATGAATAGGTATAGGTATTATAATGTATTAAACATTTTAAATTCTGAGCACAATGAGGAATGTATTGGTTTAATAATTATGACATGAGTATTTTTTTCTTGTATGCTAACAACAGTTTTTTACCAGAAATAATGCAATTCAAGTTATAAGAGTACCTAGTACGTTTTCTGAAAAAATTCTTGTTGGTTCTGGGTACATATATAATTTTCCTTATAGAATTCTTAAAAACTGAGTAAAACCGAGCAAAAACATGGGGAAATCGGGAAAATTTATGAAAATAACGGTTTCATTATTTTAGATTTTATCAATAATTGTAAAGACCTGAAATTTTTATAGAATACTTATACTAGCCTTTTACTAGCCTTATACTAGAGATAGTAACATTTTCAAAATTTTCTGGCAAGTTTTGAGGTACTTTTAGTTTTTAATAATTACAAATTTTGTTTTTTTGCTAAGCTAAAATGTTTAAATATTTAATACGTGGTTCATCTCGTGTTGTATTTGATGATAAAAAAAATTGAACTTTATTCAGTCATTTTTATCCGTTTTTTGAAGTTTAAATTTTCACGAAAATGTTTGCTACCATAAATATTACTTTAATAGAAAAATAACAAGGGAACGTTTTTTTGCATTTTGAATATAGTTAGTGACCAAGAAAATTGTTTTTCTATTTTCTTTGTAATTTTTAAATAATTGAACAAAACCGAAAAAGACATCCCAGGATAATGGGGACTGGTGCAGCCACTGTTACAGGTAGTTTAATATATACTTGTAAGTAATGATAAATAATTGCTTACGAAAAAACGATTCTGAGTGGAGTTCAGTTGATAGTGATGCTTTATCAACAATATATATATATATATGCCATATCATAGTAAAATAATTAAATAGTCTCTATATATTCCCCATAATAATATTTGTTTATGTTGTGCCTACCGATTTCCTCGGTTTTCCTACGTTTTTTCCCGGTTTTCCCCAATTTTTCGCATTTGATGAGAAAACTCTGGAGAAAATCGATAAAACGACCTCTTTGAAGTACCTCCCCAAGGAAATTTTCTTTCAGAAAAATTGCTATCCTTAAAAGTTGGTGCAGGTAGTGAAGTAGTCTACAGAAAAAAACTCGTAATATATAGGTACTAAAAAAAAAAAAAAATAAATATCTTTGTTAAGCCATAAGCTTCTTCGCTCCACTTAGAATCTGAAATACGCAGAAATAACTAGACAATTTACGAAACAAATTATTTTATTTTTTTTTTTTTAATGTAATTTAATTAAAAATATTCTAAGACTTACAATTTTAACAGAATACTTTTTTTTTTAAACATGGTAAAATTTTAAAAACTTTTAAGCCATTTGTCAGCTATTTATAGACATTTTAATTTTGCAAGTGTTTTACGTAATGTTTATTTGCTTGTTACATTGTGGATACAATTTTCAGACTAAAAAGAAATGCTTAACAATTTGATAGGAGGTTAATTGTAATGTCGTGCTTAACGGTCAAAAAAAAAAAAAGAAGAAAAATAGTTTCACAATAAACGGGAAGGAAAAACGGGAAAGATAACATTAATAAAAATGTCTTTTTTTTTTTGTTTGTTATTTGGTTAAAAATAATCGTAGGTACACGCTATTTACAAATAATATTCATATTTGCCTTTTCTAGACGTGGTCAAATTTACAAAACGAACTATTTATCAGTTTTTGATATTTTGACCGCAAATACACTGCATTTTAAAGTATGTTCATCCGAACTTCGCTCAGAAAAGTATTTTGTTAGAAAACTACGAAACACTAGAAATACTACTGAAAATTCGGTAGATTAAACCGGTGTCTAAAAAACAAACCGGTGCAAACCAGAGGTATTTTTTGGACATACTGGTGTGTAAAAAATTGATACCGATTCTATTTTTTCGGATCATCTTTCAACTATCTCTTTGTTTGATTTCTTCTGAAATTCATCTAACCTTATCATTTTCTGTGGCGGTCCAGTCTACCTCCGCGACATTATGTCATGTTTACTGTTTATTTATGTTTAATTGTTTTTACTGTTGTTCACTTTATATTACCAACTATGTATTATATAATTTTTGAAAAACCTCACCAAAGTTGAGTTCTTTGTAACGGAACATAATCATAATCATAATCGTTAATCCGATTTTTAGTTAAGATAAATTCTATAAATTATTTAATTTCAAGATTTAAATCCTTAAAAGGGATGTATTATTTATATTGTATACATTTTTATCCTTCGTAAGACGAGACGTACGACTATCACGTGGAATTGTGAAAAAATAACGGCAGACACCAGAAAAAGTTTAACAACAGAGCCATTGCAGAATACCTACAGTATACGTTTATTTCAACCCATATTTTGTAGATTGATAAATATTGGCATTAGGAGAAGGTATTCCGATGTCCGATTATTGCACCGAATTTATTGTTGAACCGCGGTACTACAAAAGTATAAAATCCGAATCGGTATCACACACCGGTATGTATACATCGGAATCAACTGTACTTACACCCAAATGCGTGCGCAGAACTTGTTGGTAGGGGGGCAGATATTAAATATTATATTATGTAACACAATTGAATATTATTTTGTTTATTAGTTAGTTCAATTAATATAAGTGATGGTGGTATTTTAATTTTATATAATATTATCATTAATTTAATTACAAATCGGATGCTATAATTGAAATTTCACAGTTTTTCGGAAGACAAATCTGGTCCGCGGGAAGGGCAGCTGTCCACCGCGTCCCTTTGTGTGCGTGCACTCCTATGCTTACACCGGTTTGGTTTATTCAATTTCTAGATATAAATTAAACACGGTGGGTTTAATTAATATAAACCTGTAATACAACTTATCTTCCGAATTTCCCACCTACAGGTGCTACAGTTACAGTGACCTAATTATTAGTATTATAACACAATTGAACACGAGGCGCGTAGCAACGACGATGCACCTACTGCAAAACACCCGCAATTACTAGCATTTTGATTTTATTTAAAAATAGGCACACAATCATACAGTCCTGTGCCAATATTCACGAAATACCTACGTAACAAGAAAGTCCGTGTATTTTATTGTATTATAAACCGTTTCGATAATATTATGATATCCAATATCATTCAACAGCAATGTTTGATTTCTCAGACAGGTGAATAATCGTCGGCACATATCTAGTTTACCGACCAGACCGTTTTTTTTTCCCCCAACAACTTTATCAAAATGACTAAATTCGGTGTAGTAAAAAAAATTTGTACCGCGATAATCGTTTCATAAAATGTGTGCTGAACGTATTATTATTTAACACGAGGTAGATTCCGACGTGACCTACCTACTTTCACACACGTACGTTTCGTCCGACTCGGATGTTGTTGTTTTTTTTTTTTTTTTTTTTTTATTTTATCGCCGCAGCTGTGATAAGACGTCCGATAAGCCGCGGCAGTCGTGCCCTTGATACGGCCGCGACCGCGGGTTTTAATCAGCTGCTGCTGCTGGAGAGGAGAAAATAATACTATAATACCTATTGCGCGTTCGTAGCTGCTCGTTCATAACCTATAAGTTCGTCCGTCCGGTCTTGTCACGTCGTTAGAAAAAAATAAAATAAAATAAAACCCCAGTTGTTCCGTGTCGCCGTGTCGGTCGTGTGTCGGTTACGCGCGGTATCGTTCGTTATATAGTCGGCGGCGGCGCGAACATTAATAATAATTGTCGTTGAAGGGCATGTTTTTGGGCGCACTGAGTCGTTCCGCGGCCGGATCGCCTCTGTAATCCGATAATTTAGTACTCGCGCGAACTGCAAAGTGTAATGAACGGTCGAAAAAGTTGAACGGTTCGGTAATATTTTACTATTATTTTTTTTTTTTTTTTTTTTTCATTGTAGCGGCTGTAGCGGGCAGCCGAGCCGTTCGGTGGCCCTTCGTTATTTACTCTCCGTACCGCGGGCCACGATCCGCGTCCTCATCGCGATTTTCCCATAATAATTTCTCGTTAATATTTATCAATTATTATTACCTACTAAGTACCCTACCTGTTCGCGATTTAATTTATAATATTATATTATTGTTTTGCGGGCGCGTTGACGTTATGGCCGTTTCCGTACATCATAATCAAATTTTCGCACGGTAACCGGCTGACAAAAGACGGAATAAAAAAAAAAAAAAAAAAAAAAAAAAAAAAAACTAAAAAACTAAAAAACTAACGGCAAGGTTGGGTAGTAAAATACGGAAAAATACGGAAAATAAATGACCGGTTGTGGCGACAACGCACGTGCACGTTATCATCAAAGATAAAAAAAAATCCATCTCGTCCCTCCTTTTTTTTTGTTTTTTTGCTTAATAAGCAATGATAACGCCTGTTATTGATAAAATACAATACATATTAACACTAATAATTAGTAATTAGTCGAGTTTTTACTGGTCAAACGTAACGTATAGAGTTGTTGTTGAGCACGTAGCGCAATGGAATTTGCGTTCAGTTTCGTTTATAGTAATAATATTTCATCGTTTTCGCGATTACGGTGTTTACTGTTCTGTTTCAATAGAATCGAAATCGCTTACGGATTAATATTATAATATAGAGGTGCACATTATTAATACAATTATACACTACCTACCTACGTTTTTATTCGGAAAATCATCGTGTAACACCGAACACCTGGGAAGTGCTGTTTTATTCATCGGAACCTGCGCCATACATTTATATTAAAAAAAAAAAAAACCTTAATGATCTTTATATGTATATTGGCCATTTATAGGTAGGTAGGTAGGTAGATATTATTGTATTTTACACTAATAAACATATTAAGTAATCGCGATAGGTAGGTACTTACCTACTTTAATTGGAATTGTGACTGGTTTTTTTTCGTATACAAAATTCTTGGCAACCGAATTTATGATTGTATTCTACTTGTATTTATTGTTTTTTAAATCCGATTTTACAGATGCGTGTTTATGTTATTTTGCATACGACTATTTAATCGCCTGGACCGTAATTAAATATAGGTACCTACCTATAATACTTGTAAGACTACACGACTCTCCGTGAAGGGTGATATCAACATTTTGAGAACCCGCTGTAATCAATCGCTTCAAGAGCATTACTAACTTCACGCGCATGGCACATAACGTCGTCCTCGGGGTAACAGTATTCAAGTTACTTCACTTTCACTAAATTGTGTTTCTGGAGCAATTCGGCTGTTCGCCCTATTAATAATAAATATAATAATTATTTATTAATTTATTATTAATTGATTTATTATGAATTTTGATGAATATGAGACTATACCATCGTCCAATGTGACTGATCACATGATGGCTGGCGCAATTGCAGGAATTATGGAACATTGTGTTATGTACCCTTTGGACTCAGTAAAAGTAAGTGTATTGTGTGTTATGTATGTATATGTATATTTTTTTTTAGAAAGCAATAACCTACCTACATAATTCTATGAACTTTAATGACGAAAATTAAGTAGGTTTTTTATAAAATATCTGTGCTTACATAGCTATTGGGTAAATATTATTTTTTCCGATAAATCCCATTAAATTAATGGATAATTGGGTATAGGGAATGAAATACTTAATGCAAAATTGAGTTACTTAGTTCATATAATATACCTAGGTACCTAAATTAGGTATTTAAATTTTTAATTACCTATTTCTAGTTTAATTTTTTCTGTTATGCATTTAAGTCATTAATTAGTAATCTAAGAATTTGTATGTAAAATCATTTCACACATTTGTTTTTAATTAATTTTCTAGTACTTAAACAAGTAAAAATAAATTCCGCTTGATCATTTAATAAAAACTTACGTACTTGATAACAAAAATAATGATTGTTTTCTTTACCTACATAAGTTATTTTTATTTATTGATTTGTAAAAAATTGAATTCTGTTTTAGACTCGGATGCAGGCATTCATGCCATCTGGAAACGTGTCTAACCGAGGAATTAGCACTGTCCTCTTCAATATGATAAAACATGAGGGATATTTAAGACCAATGCGTGGCATGGGAACAGTTGTTATAGGTGCTGGTCCTGCTCATGCTCTCTATTTTGCATCATATGAACATTTAAAGCAAAAAATTTCTCAACAAACATCTTTAAATACTACAGTCTCTTCAGGTATTGCTGGTTGTGTTTCAACAATTATACACGATGCAATTATGACACCAACAGATGGTAAATATTATTATAAATATAGTTTTTTGATTAAATTTGTAATAATTCAAACAAATTGCATTTTTAGTTATCAAACAACGTTTACAAATCTCAAACTCTCCTTATAATGGTATTCTAAACTGTATGAGTTCAATATGGCGAAGTGAAGGATTAGGAGCATTCTATCGTTCATATATTGTGCAATTATTTATGAACGTACCATTTCAAGCTGTTCATTTTATGACTTATGAATATTGTCAACAATTCTTGAATCCAGATAGGATATATAATCCATTATATCACATGCTATCAGGAGGTGTTGCCGGTGGACTTGCTTCAGCCATAACAACACCGTTAGATGTATGCAAGACTCTTTTAAACACTCAAACCACAAACGTAAGTGTGTAGTCTAATTTGTCCTTATTAGATATTTTTTCTTAATGCTAATAAGTATTATATTGTAATTTGTATAACCTTAACTGCTAGGTCAATAATCAGGCCAAACATAACTTATGTTAATGTATGATACCATATTATCCATTAGCTATGTAATTATTAATAAAAATTAATATTTCAGTACCTATTAATTGACATATAAAATTTCAATTTTAACTGAAATTTAATTAGTTTATGTTTTATGAGTTTCATCTTTAATAGGTTAGTATTATGCGGTGGTAAAATTGAATAAGTACCTATGCAAATATTCTAATTAAGTGTAAATTAATATTATGCCTTGTTTTTTAGAAATAAATTAATGTATTCATTAAATGAATAATAATGTTATTGCTAATGTCATACTTACTGTTTGTATGTATTTATTTTACTGTAAAGTATGCAATCAATTTTAATTTAATCAATCAATGATCAATAAATAATAAAAATAATAACTATTTTAAAATATTCAATTATGATATAAATTGTACATTTTTTTTACTTATATATTTTAGTAGAACAAAATATTCACTTAGTGTTGAGATATTATCTATTTTTGTTACATTTTCAAGGTTAAATTTCTATTGTTGGTTGTTATTGATTTATTTATACCAATTGCCATCATTTTATTTTATTTTCACACAAATATAGTTTCTTTATTTAAAAATTATGTATATATATATATATGAATTGGTTTTAATTTGTACATCCATGCAATATTAAAGATTTAAATTAATGATGATTTACTTTTAATGACAAGTAAAATTATTGTATGTTACCTTATATTTATAATAGTTATTTATTCATTGTGTGCTATTCGAGTTATTTAAAAACAGCAAGATTCATTAATGTAATCTTAAAATAGTTTAATTTAGATACAATGTAAATATAGATGTATTTAAATTTTGTTATTCTATTGATTTTTCATTATAAATAAAATATTTATATTATATCACATTTACATAGTGCATTCAGACTTCACAAATTTGATATTATACATAAGACATTTTTAGGTTCATGTAATACACACAAATTGTAATAATTTCATTCATATTTATACAAGTTTTATATTATTGGTGTTTTGTTAAAATGTACCACTAAAAATTGAAAAAATAAGTTTTTGTATCAAAAAAATCAGAAAAATTAGGAGCATAAACTGGTAAAAGGGCATATTTAAATATAAAAAACTAAGTGGGTGATGTTGACTAAAAGATATCGAAAGGACCCTTTTAAAATATAATCTGCACTGATTTGTTTAAAGGACATACCACATTCATTGCATGTACACTTTGAATACAAGGTATTATGTGTATGAGTGATTTTATTGTTTTCCATGGTAAACATCATGAACAACATGTTAAAAACTGTTTTGCAAATAGCAAAACAGTTTTTTTGCTTTCTGAAAAAAGTAAAATTTGAAACAAAAGACCTTCGATATAATGGATAGCAATTTTTTTTAAAGTTTGATTACATATGTATGCGACATTTATATTATATATGTGAATTGCAAATTAGTAAATTCATTTTTTTAAGCATATTTTGTAATCCATTGTTATCATATTTACTTGGTTTTTTTTGTGTTAAAATGTATTACACTGTTCTTTATAATATTTGAATGTTATTATTTTGATTTTAGTTAATTATACAGTTTTTGTTCATATTTATCTCATGTTAATCAAATGTGCAAATTTCACAACATTGCGTTTTAAATGTTTAAATTTGAAAGATTATATTTGTTTATTATAAACAAATAGTTCTATACGAACTGCTTCTTGTTAGTATGTTAAAAGAATTCTTTTTATTTCTTAAAATTAGATCAGGGTCAGTTAAATGATTAGCACATTAGTCGTACCATAATGGAGAGGGGAATATCTTTAGAAGTTTAATCTATAATTTATTTGAATTATTTTGTTGTTATAAATGAAGTTAGGAATCATGAAACATATTTGTTAAATTAAGCCACAATTTGTTTTAAATTAAAGATAGGTGTAAACATTAAAATAAAATACTTATCATATTTGTTTTATTTATTTAATTCTGTAAAATAATAAAAAAAGTCTATTTACATTTAGAAAAATGTTATGAAGTGTAGCTATTATAGGTTATTTTACATTTAAACAATATAAATAGTGAGTACTTTAATAAACAGAATAATATTTATTAGTTGTATGATTAAATTAATTTAATTTAAATTTTTGTAATAGTTTTTGAATTAAAGTTCTTCATATGCTCATATATATTATAGTTTCAATAGAAAATTAAATACAACAGGCAATTGGAGAGATTATTTTTAATTTTAACACCATTAATTATAGTTAAAAAAATTATAATAAACTAAAAAAAAATTTATTTTTAAGATTAAAATATATTTTAAGTTAAAAAGCCTAACTTTACTTTAGAGACTTGCAATTTCTATTATTTATTTATTTTTTAGTAGGTACTTAACTATTTATAAATTGTATATGTTTTAATAAAACTAATACATTACTAATAGTACAAAATAGTACATTTAATTGGGCATAAGATTAATAATAAATAAAACTACTGAAATGTCGTCCTTTTCAGTTTTTTCAAAGTTTTCAATTTACAATTATATTTTATAAAACTTAATCACTTATTACTTAGTTAGAAATCCTGAAACATATTCATAACATATCCATGTTAACTGTATTCAAAATTTTATATTTGCATATCATAACAATTAAGTTTATTTCACAATTTGTAGTGTAATTTAATATTATTTTATTAATAATGCAATAAAACATAGTTATATAAATATATATAGATATATACTAAGTTGTATTTATCATGTATAAGTTATAATTTTTGAACAATTAAATCTTATTTAAAGGGCTGAGAAAAATTTTACTGTTTCATAAAGTTACTGTATATTGTTTAATATAACAAAGAGTTTTTTCAGTCTATTTAGCCTTATAAAAAAAAAAAAAAACCATTATATTTGAATAATCATAAATCTGGTCCCCCCCCCTCCTGATTTTTCATGTTAGTAAACATTTTATGAAATTTAATATTTAAGTAAATTGTACTATATTTATATTATTGCTATTGACTCGTCTGGGAGAGAAATGCTAATGAAACAATTGTAAACATCAACACGTTGGTATTGTTTATCAAATACATTTGGTTATAATTTTTGAAGAATTGTCTAATTTTGTTTGTATCATTTTCATCATAATACATTGTTAGAATTATTAAAATGTAAAACAATTTGTTTATGTGATAAAAAATACAGACATAGATAAAAACACTAATGTTATTACACTTATCTTGTGGAACATAGCAAAGTATAGGTATGTACACAGGATTCTATTAGGATTAATGGCAGTTGACTAATAAAATGGTAAATTTGTACATCATAATAACTTTCTGCAGTATACTATTTTAAATGCACTATTTTGCAAATTATTATTTATAGAAATACTACTTTCTTAACATATTTAATTGATTGGATTATAACTTTAAAGAGAGATAACCACTAGATATATTTGGAGAATTAGAGATGTCCGCTATTTGGAATGGCAGACTATATTATTAGCATTAGTATTATACATAAACAATATTTAAAAAAAATGTCAACTGTTTTTAGACTTCAGGAATACAATTATATTTTATTTTTGGACAATCCATAAATAGTTTAATATTGAAAAAAGTTTAGTAAATTATATTTTTAACATTTAGTTTTAAATGTTTTGGTTAAAATATATGTTATTATAAAATAATATTTACATTTATAAATTATTCTGAATTAAATTTGTAAAATTATTTTATAGTTTTTAAATTTAAATTTAATAAACAGTATTAATTTATAATTTCATACCTATGTTTAGGTTATACATAGTTTTCTATAAAAAAATATAAATCTTATAGGTACTAATACTACTGTATTGAACTATATAGTCTGTATGTATTTTTATACAAGATTGAAATTAATAGCATTTAGATAAATCTATAGTTTTTTATGTAAGTAACTAGAACAAAAAAGAAATATATAAATAAATAAATACAATTAATATTTTATAGCTAAATAATGATTTACTATAACTTTTATTGAATGTGTTATTTTTATATCATTAAGGAATTTGTCAAACTGTATCTGGCTGGTTAAAGTGATCACAAGTAAAATGGCAAAATTATATTTACTTTATATTGGATTCATTTTACATATATGTCAAAGACCTTCAATTTGTTTTGGTATGTGATTTAGTATTTGTGTTTTGTTAAAATTATGATTCAGACTTTTATGTAAAAATCAATATTTTCTCAGTCTGACATATTTTCTTTTGTGGTAACGAATTATAATTTCTTACGTTTATTTCTTGAGTCGGTAAACAGATTTCGATTACACATTGTATTTAAAAAAGCAATGTTTATAAATTCTGTTCTAGTATCTACCTTCAACATATGTACTAGTTAGTGAGTCATAAGTTATATGCGTTTATTTCTTCAATTTAGCTTGATTTTGAATCTTTAGAATGAAAATCTAAAAGTACCATTCATTTTTATGAAATAACCATTTAACTGATTATTGTATTTATTTATTATATGTTTTTTTTTCTTTTGTGTATTAATAAATTACATTTTCACCAGCTTAAATATGATTATTAATTTGGCTAATATTTGTAGTACACAATATACTAGTATATGAAGTGTCAATGTATTGACTATATGTAATGTTTTAGTATGCTCATGAAAATTACATGGGGGTTGAAACTTGAAGTTATTTTATACAGTTTTTGAAAGAATATTATTTGTAATATAATAAATTTCTAAAATGTCTATTCTTAACCATGCTTAATGAAGGATGATGTATTAATTAATTATTATTCAATGAATTCTTATTTAAGAATTGTAGTTTTTCTCACCTATCAGTATGTTAGCTATTAGGTTTAAAAGTAACTTACATAATAATCATTATAAGTTGTAGATAATCTGCTGTAAACTCATAATATCTTACTAAATCTTATTATTCAATAGTTCTTATATTTTAATTACTAATTTTTATTATTAAATTTTAATATGATACAGAAATATTTCATAAATTCTTTAGTTATTATTTATTGTTGTTTATTCATAAAATAATGTGTATATAATATTAAGTATTATTTAATATGTTATTAATATACTTGTATATTATTTTTAATTTTATTGGTAAGAATTTTCTTTGTCTTATTAATTTTAATTTAATTAATTAATTTTTGCACCTAATTAATTAATATTGTCTATTTATATTACTACCATTAAATATATTTTATACATTATTCAATTATAATTTAATACATTTTTATAATTTATGTAAAACATTTGTTTTATTTAGTTATAATTACTCAGTTTAAAATAGATTATACATAAGTAAATGTATTCAATTTTGAGAGGAGATATTTTGGCATAAAAATATTACAGAAATGATTTAATTAAAACAAATTACCAACTATTAGTTTGTTAGTTGCATTTTGAAAAATGTTCATAATATATAATTTTTTTATTATTGAAAACAAGATTAAAAAAATTGAATTCCAAAACTAATACTCTAAAAATGGTTTTTTAATTAAAATTGAATAAAATGTTTTTTATAATCTAATATCTAATGTAATCCTATAAATAAACAAAAGTAATACAAAGATCCAATTTTTTAAATTCAAAGTTCAGAATATTTATAATTTCTTCAGATCAAAACATGGAAAAATGTTTTTTTATTTTTGACATTTCAATTTTATTTAATGCATATTTTTGATTTTATTTTATAATATCTTCTATTATAATATGCACTTTATTGTATAGATATGTAGATATATTATTTACTTATTAAACGTATTTGTTTTCAGAAAAATGTGTAAAAGATAATATAAATATGTAAAATAATATTTTTAATTTTCTAGGTAAGAGTTGAAGGTATATTTCGAGCAGTTACAACAATATACACACTTGGTGGGCCTAGAGGATTTTTTAGAGGTATGGTCGCCCGAGTTTTGTATCAAATGCCATCGACTGCCATATCATGGACTACATATGAATTTTTCAAATATGTGCTTATTAAAAAAGAACAAATTTCCGATGATAGGCCAACACCACCTCCACCACCTCCTCCATTAAGTTCAACAGTGTTGAATGAAAAAATAACAACAAAAACTAGTGTTCGATGCGATTTGCCCGTTGCTTCGAGGTCACGTATATATAGTCATTATACAGTTAGAGATGATGGGTCTAAAGGTCCGCAATTTTAGGTTAGTATTGTGTTACCAAATTAAAGCTAAGTGTCGGACAGCATAGTTTATTATGTGTCTTATATATTAAATCTATGATCCGTCTGTATTAGTTTGTTGACTTACCATAGCCATAAAATAAAAAAAATCACTCTAACCTGTCATGTTTGGCAGGCATACAGCAAGTATATTATGTAAATATATCTATTTATATGAACTATATATTAGACTCAAATAATTGTTTCCCCAATTAAACTTTTAGTCCCAGGTATTAAGTATTATTTTTTTACAAGCAAAAGCAAAAATTCAGAAATTATAAAACTATTACTTAGTAAAATATGAAAAATTATTTTGAAAAATGTGTTCGCGGCAAATTTTATTAAAAGTTCATACCCATATATATTATAGTATACGATATATATATATATATATATATATTAGGGTTTTTCAACAATATCTACAATATTATTGATAACCGAAATTTATTTTTGTACTGAAGTACATTTTACTTACATAATGATTTTGGGATAAAATCTACTTTGAGCATACTATATTATTATCATAATATTAATAAATCGCATGTTATTTTGCTGCTGCTAACAAAATATGACAATAGAACCAATTTCTTCGGTCGAGTTTTTTTTACGACATTTTCGTGGTGGGGGTAATCGAGGGATTGAATCACTATCTGTTTTAGAGTAATAACACCTAACACTATAATGTAAAATTGGAAACTGCGTAATCATTAACGTGGTATAAACAATAAAAAAGTGACAACTGTATGTATTCCATATTATACTTGGTCTTATAAGGTTTATGCCACGAATTAATATATATATATATGATATTGAACGAATGTGTGATAAGTGAAACTCGAACCTTCTCACTTTTGACGAGGCCACTAACACCATCTAGTGTACTCTTAATATTTCTTATAGAATACATACGCAATTTATTACATACCCTACTCTTCCAGTCGTAAACTTTAAACTGGTTTTAGTTGATTTTCATACCAATTTTATCTTAAAGCGCTATCTGTCATGTCAAACAGTGAGAAGTGAGGCGGACTCAGAAAAACCTTTCCTAAGACCTTTCTGTTCGGTATCCTACATAATATCTAATGTCGTGGTCTGTGCGTACGCTGCATCTGCACGTATTCTCGCTGCGTATACTGTATAGTTCAGAAAGACCATTAACATCGTTGCGGTTCATAGATACCCCCCATTTGTGTATTCTCCGTCAAAAAACTCGACCGCACCTCTATCAACCATCTGCCATTACATCGTCGGTCTATTTTATACACTAACTGTGCTCCCGGCGCTGAAAGAGCGTAAGTCGGCGGCGACCAAAACGCGTCGTAGTTCGCGCATTTCCCACAAACGATTGTTCTTGGCAGTCCAATTCGCGGTAGAAATTAGACCTCGACACTGCGGAGCTTTTTCATTTGCACGCGTGGATGAGTTGCGCTCTCTGAACGCCCGGAGTATAGAATACACCGTGTTTGCGCATCGCGACTGATCTAACCACCTGGTTTCCCCCCCACTATGCGGCCACTAGTAGACCGGTTACTGTAGTAGATGCGCGGAAACCAACAAAAATTGGTCGGCAGCTGGGTGTATTCTAATCTGAGTTAGTTCATATTGTTTACTAAGCCATTTTAGTATCTGGTTAAAAATAGCGCAGGATAACAGAAAAATATTTAATTTTCCCAGTGATATGTTGAATACTCGGTGGTCATCATAAATAAAAACGTCAACAATATCATAATAGTATTGTTCAGTTTGGTTACGCAGTTGTACATATTGGAAACCAGTTAATTTTAATGACAAAGGCCTTATATTTTAGAACAATTCTGTTTTCTCATAATAGGAATATCTATGTACTGATGCACAATTTTTTTTGCCACAGTTAAATATCGTGGGAAACAAATCAATATCGATATTATAAATAAATATTGTTGAGAATCCCTAATATATATCTGCATGTGAGCAGATATTTATATTATAAACTATCTACAGTTTTAGTTTATTTCTTATAGTACAAAATGTGAATGTTATTACTTCACATTTTTTTTCGATGAACTCTGTTGTTAGTGAACAAATTTATATGATTATCATCATTTATATTCATTTATGTTTGTTCTGTTGTAAACTCAACTCCTATTTTTAAAAAATATTATGAACTGTGTATGAACCTATATGTATATTGTAACTATCAAGCCAAAAGTGTGTCTTATTGTTTAATTTTTCCCATAGATTGAACTTGTGTCTATGTTCATTAATTTCTTCTTTAAAATGTTCAAGTGAGATAATCAGTAGCTTAGGAACCACTTGACATTAATTCTTGATGAAAATCAAAATTGAATAAAATTAAAATCAATGTTTGCACAAATTAAAATTTTTAAATCATTTAGTCACTTTTGGCATGATAGTGATGATATTTACTGTATATAACATGCTTTTTATAATACTCGAATAGATATATTGTATATATTTTTTATTATTTTTATTAATGTTTACATCACAACTGTGTTTAAAAATATTTATATGCGGTATATTTATTTGGTTTATTTAAAGCATAAAAATAATTACCAATAATTATTAAATACTCTGTTGAAAATTTATAGTTTTTGAAAAAATAAGAATACAGTTTTGTCCCTTTTTAAGATGTTTCACATTTTGGACAATTGGACAGAAGACACGAGCAAATTAATAAATGTTATAACTAGAGACTTTTGTTATGTTTTGTTTGAAGGAGACAATTGTCATAAACATGACCCCAAAAATTAGTTATGAACATAATTTACAATATTTACATAAATATTATAGTTTTTCATTTAGAAAATACTAATTTTAATATTAACTCAGTTGATACTATTTGTCATTTTAATTTATTATTTATTTAAAAACATATTTTTCTGAAAACAGTATAATTATTAACATCTCGTTTTTATAGATTTTACAGTCCTAAGTCTCAAGGCGAACTTCGTCTAGTCTTCTATTGTATTTTTCGTAAATATTTAGCGTGTTTGTGTTTGTCATGATGTATTAGTCGAATTTGTAATATTAACTTCTTTCTAATATAAAATTTGAATAGTTATTAATTAGTTGTTTTACAGTGTTTATAACAATATTGTTAAAGTCTTGTGTTTTACTATCCAAGAATATTATGTATTGATTATAAGTACTTCATTTTACAATGCAAGACATACCTGTCTTAAAATTTATAGACCTTTCTTGTAACGAGTATATATATTTTTTAAATATAAAAACAAATTTAGGTGTGTAAAAATGTTAAAATGTCTTTTTGTCTGTGATATGTTCATTTATTATTATTATTATTATTATTATTATTATTATTATTATTATTATTATTATTACTATTACTATTATTATTACTTTTTGTTATATAATATGTTTTTGTTACTATAACGATGTTCACTTTGGAGGAAAGTAATATCATTATGTTAACGTTTGATATAAATTTGAAATAATTTTATTTTTATAAAAATTAAGAATGCAATGTGTATGCGCTGTTACAAATAACAAATAGTATTATGATCAATAAAAATTTAAAAGCTTTAATGCATATTAATAAAATTAAATTGTGACAATGATTAAGTGTTAATTCAATATTTTTATGTACACCACAAGGTTTTTATTTTCAACCAAGTGGTTACTATTTATTTTTTATTTGTACAATACCTACTATATTTATTAATCATAGATGATAATATAGTCACTGTTAAACATTTAAGAACACCACTACTTTTCCATGTATACTTAGTATATGGCTCATACAAATGACATTCATGTTAACCATCATATTATATACTATCATGTAAATCATAAAACACCTTGTTACTCGTTTTAAGAGAATGTTGTAAAAATGATAAAACATACAGACAATAAAAACACCATTGACATTTATTATCGTTTATGAAATTATTCATCTATTGACCAGTATATTGCTACTGAAAAATTGTTTAATTTAAAATTACAATACCTGAATTTTAAACAATTTTAAAGACAGCTAGTACTCGACTGATTTACAGTATTAATATTTATATCAATAGTATGAATACTATGCAATTTTTAAAGTGATTTTTCCATATACATGGAAGAAAGGAGGGTAATAGGAAGATTGAAAAGAAAATGGTAAGATATGATCAGATTGAGAGTGATATGAGAAGTATGTATAAAGTGTGTCAGGTGGAGATTTAGGACCAAAATGGTTGACTAAAGAGAGAGCTGGAGAGAACAGGAGCTGGGATAACCTTCACTTAGACTAACATTTAGTATGATATTTACCTATATAGTCTTGTAAAAAATACTTTTATTTGGAGTACATATTTGAACAAATTAGTGAAAAAGTATTAAGATTGTGTATTCGAATGTGTTTAATAAAATATATTCAGGTGTATATTTGAATATTTTAAAAAGTATTTGAATAATATTTGAATATTTTATATTTTAAATAAAGTGAGTAATTTATTACTTTTAGTATGATGTGTTTTTTGTTAATAGGGCTGTGAATTTAAAGTTGTACAAAATCTTAAAAAATGCAATATAAAATGGTTTATAATTTAATTTTTATATTTATTTTGATATTACTGATATCGATATATCATAAGCCCACAAATAACTAAGCAATATTGCCTTATTTTATCGAATTTTTATCTTTACCTAACCTTTATATAGCTTGTATAAAATATAAATTTGACGTATTTACAGTCTGTCTAAAACAAAAAAATATGTGTGTAAAGATGTTATTTGATTGAAAATACCGGAAAATGAATTAAAAAGGAAAATATGAATTAAAAAGTCCATAAATAACCTTTAACATCAAAAACGTCAAAAAATGCAAAATAAAAGTTTCATAAATGTATTTGTTGTTAAGTAATTTAAAATATGTTCTTAGAAAGCTACGTTTCACAATCATCTAAACAAATATAATTTCCTACAAATTCACTGCTATATTTATTAATATTATTATTACCGTTGGATTTATTCTCACGTCTCAACGTTTTGAATCGTGCACTGTACATACCATACAAAAAAATAAAATCTTCCCAATACACAAAATATATATGAACTTATTCTTATCAGATTGTGAGCACACCCGGTGATGGATGAAAACACGTTCGAGTTAGTTATGGACACTATCGAATGGAAACTATCGATCAGTTTATCAAAGTATCGAATTGTTTTGAGAAAAAATAATGGTTAGGTTAGCAGCAATAATTATGATAATTATCAATGGTTCGGTAAAAAACTATTGAATAATTTTTCGATAGTTGAAAATCATGTAATTATTAATGTAATTATTCATTAGAATATTATTCGATAGTTTTACTTAAATTATCGAATGTAATCAAGAGTCAAAACTATTCAGTTTTTATAATTTGTATAAAAGTACAGCTTATAATGAACCTCGTGTTCAATTTTCAGGCATATTAGTTGGTTAAACAATTTTATTCATATACAGTGGTTGTTGCTTATTGGACTTAAGGTTAATTGTCTCTTTCGTCTATTATGTTCAAAACGAAATTTTTGCATGTATACTAAAAAATATAAAAATATTTGTCTCTTAGATTCACTACAACAATTAATGGGGGGCGGCGGTCATTTGAAAATTAGATAAATAGATAAAATATGTATATAGTACATGCATATGAAAAAACGTGCTGTAAGTGTAAGTTTATGGTATCAGTATTTGTAGCAAAATCACAATACTAAACTGTTTCCGACGCAATGGTTTCATTCTCAGCCCAAAAGGAGTTAAATCTCCTGTCGTAAGACCTATCGACCTATCAGTCGAACTTTATAATGAATGGATTAACATTGAAGTCACAACTGAGGAAAATATCTGTGGTGAAATTGAGTCGAAACGGCGAAAATAGTGTGTCTGATAGTGACGAAGAGGAACCTAATGAGAACTATCATCAACAAAACAGATGTTAGAGCGTTTCAGGTTCTACGCAGAGGCGATTTTGAGGTATTTAAGCAACAATACCTACGAGGAGATGATTATAGAGTTGACCGAAGAAGGGAAAATCCAATTAGTTCTGGATAGATTTTTATTAATAATTAGTTGTATTATTTTTCAAACAAGAATCCACCGCATTGCGCATCATTATTGGCGGCGAAAAATGCCGTCAAATGCCCACAAATTACTTGAAATTTGTTAGAATATTTAAAAAATTGTATTACGTCTATACAAGTTTAATATAAGTATTCTGTGAAAAATTCAGGCCTCTAAGAATATTTTAAATAGGATTATAAAAAAAAAAAAAATGAGTACGTATATATGTTTTATCTACTTATGGATATATACGTAGCTACATGTATCTGTTTAAAACAATTAATTAACAATTATATTTTTGTTTTATTTATATATTTTATATATACATTAGGTATTGGCCTCAGATAAGATGGATACGATAAATTAAAGAGAAACATGGGATGAAACTGAACCACCATTTACTTGGAAGTCAAATTGAGATGGCTATCAGAAAATTACGTTATCACAAAGCTGCTGGTTTGGATGACATTGTGGCCGAAATGATAAAAGCAACTGCAGAAAAGGAGGTTGATTTTTGTTTCAAGATATGGACTACTGGAATATCGCCAAATGAATGGTGTGCATCCATATACATACTAATTCCCAGTTCATTAGAAGGGTGAGGTTAGGTTAGTATACAACAACTATTGTACTATAGCCCTAATGTCCCTAATTCCCCATATAAGAAAATCATGCTATATACAAAACTTCAAGAAAAGCTAAAATTATATCTGCTTCCATAAATCTTCCAAGAACAAGCAGGATTTGTATTGGGAATCGGAACAAGGGACAAACTCATAAATATCCGACAGATAATAGACAAATACTATAAATATAATATTACAGTTATTTGCTGCATTCTAGGTTATACTAAGACTTTTGACACCGTTAAATGAAATATTTTGTGGCTTATTCTAAAATAAATAGGAATTCCAGAGCACCTAATAATAATAATAAAAATTATATGTGTCAATAACCAAGCGTATATCCGTGCGGAGTCCGATCTCTCCAAGAGTTTTCAAATAGGACAAGGTGTAAGACAAGACTACATATTATCACCATTATTTTTGAATATACCTATACATGGATAATGAATAATGAGACAAGTTACTCAAGAATGGAATGGAGAAGTGTCCATTGGTGGTAAAAAATCAAATTTAAAATAAGCTGATGATGTGGTGCTCTTAGCAAAAATAGAAATGAAAATGACCATTTCTCTAGAACTAGTTGAAAAATTTAGCTATGAGACAGACCTAAAACTTTATGGATCACTATAATCACTATTGATAGGACAAACATATTACATCCCACCTCATACCGGATATGAATCGAAAAGATAGTATATTATATCTAAGCGAACTTTTATCAAATAAAGGTAATTCGGAATAGGAAATCAAACGAATAGTACTTATAGCTAAGGCCGCAATCGCCAAATTTTCTAAAATGTGTAAAGATCATGATATCAGGAAAAAAACGAAGTTGTATCTGACGAAAACACTGATATTCCCTATAATGACACATGGTTCTGAATCATGGACCCTAAATTCATCGTGTTGACTAAGATTAGAAGCATTTGAAATGACTGTATATCATAGAAGAATGTCACGAATGGACCGACTATAGAACGAATGTCCAAGATCGCCGCTTGATCATAATTCAGAGCCAAATATTCAAATTATTCAGTTACATAATAAGGAGATATGGTATTTAAAAAGGATATTATACAAGAAAAAGTCGGAGGGAAGAGAAGCAGAAGCATGCCCCCTATTCGCTATACAAACCAGATTGAAACCCTCACACAAATTCTGTTCTGGAGAAATGTATCCAATAAGAAAAATATTCTTACATGGAAGTTGCGATGTTTGAAGTAGAACAATGATCAAAAAGAAGAAGAAGAAGAAGAAGAAGAAGAAGGAGAATATGCGATCAAAGTTTCTATTAAAAATCATATATTAAATATTGATAACGTGAGCAATAATATAATATTAATTGATAGATATTAAAAAAATAGCTAATATTGGAAACGGGTGTGTCACTGTTATAGGTGGGAAGTTGGGAAGTTAGGATACTTAAAATTATTTAATTTATAATCTATAAGTGACGACAAAACATTGCTAACGAAAAATTATTCTGAGCGAAGTTCGTTTATACACGATTTAAAAGGCCGCCCGCAATAGTTATAATTTCATCAAAATTTGATTTTAAAACCAGTATATAAAAAAACCTAATTTTTTGAACACTAAGGATAATTTACCATAAACATCGGGTTATATTTTCAAGCATTTCTGTTTGGTCAAACAATGATGTACACATAGTATTAAACAAATGAAAACTACGTAAATAAATGCCTATAAATAGCTCAAAATTTGTTAAAATATGAACATTTTATTAAGTGTAGAAAAGGCAAATATACGTATTTATAAAAATGTCAAATTATTATGAATATTTTTAACTAAATTGCAACAAAAAAACAATTGAAAATAATGAAATCATTATTTCCGTAATATTTTTATTTGCAGATTCGCTGAAATATTAAAAAAAGTACAATGAAAATCAAAAAAACGATTTCCTCATTCACTTATTAGATTAAAAATGGTTTTTTATTGGTTTCTTATTTGAGCAATATTTCTAGAAGAAAATATAAACCGTACAAATTTAAAATAATGAAATCTTAACATCGTAAATGTATCAGTTTTCACTTTACTTACATATTTTTCCAATTTTTCCAAATTATTACGAAAACCCCTTTGTAAATCAACAAATGTCCTATTCAACGCACCAACTACATTCAAAATGCAACAAAAAAGGTTTTTTGTTATTTTTTGAAACTACATACATCATAGTAAAACCAATGAATCCTTAGTTAGGCTCAGAATCTAAAAATTTTAAAATAATTTACTGTCATTTTATCGAATACTCGAAAGTATTAAAGAGTGGTGATTATATTATCAGTAGAGAATTGCGGTACTATTATATGGATATAATCTTGAATGTAGACGCGCGTGAGAAGTAGGCAGTTCGCAATTCGTTTTTAATTAATATTATAATGGTATTAATACATTTTAAGCAGTTAATTTGTTAAGTGCTGCTGGAGTAAATAAACTGGATGACACACTGATGTATTGTCGCTGTATATCATGCTGTCTCCGACTCGGGAAAATAACTTAATATATTTATAGTAAGTAGGTTGGAACCCACGTTTAAACAAGAAAATCGGTTACCTATAGGTTAAAATATTTTCTTATATTAAAGGAAATATAATTTAAACGACAATTTTAATACGTACGAATTAATATTGAGAAAAAAATCCCCTTTGTCACAATCAAATACACGATCAGCGAATTTATTGTCATTTAGGTACCTTTTTAGGCGTACGATTGGATGCGTAACACAATTATTTTTACTTGCATGTAACGTTTCCAAATGTATACACCAGTGGTTTTCAACGGGAGCGATATCGCCCCCCAGTGGGCGGTAAAGGGTTACTTATGGGTGGTGAACTTGTTTTGGATGGTAGGGGCGACGAGCGTGTACACGCAAAAACGTTCTGCATGATGCGACCTAAAAATAATACATACTTGATAATCCATATGATAGCTATCAGTCACATGAGTTATTAGATCATTTCAATTTTTTTTTAAATTTTTGAAATCAACTTCTTTTCTACATAGAGAGCTCCCCATACCCTTAACTATAGAGTTCTCACATAGGAGGGCGTTAAAAAATTGATTGCTACTCAAGGGGGCGGTAACTTAAATACGGTTGAGAAATACTAGTATACACGGTAAAATATCCTCGCAGCTTTAGGTGACTCGTACGTAAATAACTTACTAAAATAAGGTTCACTGGCGGATTTAATATGTCTTCTAGGGGGGGGGGGGCAATTTCCTTTGGTTAAAAATTTTTACTTTTAACTAACATGACCAGACGTCAGTCAGTCAATGTGACCCCTGACCGCTTAATGTGATAGCACAACTATCTGCAGAGGCGGTGATTATAACACTCTGAACTTCTATACGGATTTTTGAAAGAAATTATTATTTATAGGTAGTTTGATGTCTAAGGGCCATAGTCCTATGGCCCCTCCCTCTAAACACCGCGCCTGGTTATTTAATAATATTACTGATAACGTACATTTATATTTAATCAGAATTATCGTTTTCGTAAATTCTCATATAGTTGCGAATATACTATTATCGTACATGATGTATCTACTGTCAGTCGTGTTCGTATTTCAGTTGTTAAACTTAAACACTATAAAATATACCCGAGTATTTAGCCGTAATTGGAAACGGGTATCGAGACTTAAAAATTGAATTAAACTTTCTTGTGAAGAAAACTGTTGTACAATTGTTCTGAATTGTTTATTTTTTATTTTATTTACATTATTTAGTTACATTTTTTTTTTTAATAATATTGATTGTCTTTTATGAGTTTTATAACTTAGGCTATAGTAGAATGAATATATTATATTGTTGTCATTAGACAATCATAATAATATTTCTTTTTAAAATGTATAACGATTTTGTTGGCTTCGGGGATTTAAAATTCATATGATTTTTTCTGCATGTAAATCTACCATTTACTGATTAAAATATTGTTAATATATTTATAATAATAAACTGAGCATCGTCGCTTCCAATTTCGTGCGCAGTCGTATGCCGTTGAAGGGTGAAAATCAACTAAAGTTTTTGGGTTAGTCTCTTATTGGACTGAAGGCTTCAAATGTGTAGTCTATTAAACTATAAAGTTAAAATAAGAGTTGATACTGGGGATAAGAGCGGCCTCTGTTGTAGGTGAAAAGTTGGGAAGTTAGGATATTTAAGGTTATTTTATTTATATCTGTAACCAATGATAAACAATTGCTTAGCGAAAGACGATTTCGAGCATAGTTTGGTAATACATAATTTGAAGTGCCGTATTTTTTGTTGCGATTTTCGTGTAAATTTGATTTCAAAACTCTTATTAAAAAAAAAAAATGTCCGATGATTTTGAAAATTTTACCACGTCTAAGTAAGTCCTACGTAAGTATTATTACCAAGTTTCAAGTCACTACGTGTATTTAAAACCGAATTACAGCAAAAAATTCCCACAAATTAAAATTCCCTAAAAGCTCAAAAGTGGCTCAGAAGTTTTAGCGATGATACCTTGAGAAAGTAAATCAAAAAGACAACAAAAAAGGTATCTTGTGATTTTTCGATTAAATCATTTTTTCTGTTGGAAAACGTCGTCCGTGTTTTTATAAAATAATAAAATCGTGAAATTGTACGTTTTTTCCCAATTAAGTGCTTTTATTTAAAATATTTCAAAAATCAAAACATGACCTGTCTAAAGTACAATCTAGACAACTTGAGCTTAACTTTAATCTTTCGTTCTTGTGAGACATTTCGCTGCGCCATAGAAAGAACAAATCTATACTACTTACGTATTATTAAATTTCACAAATTGCAAATTTTGTTACGAGATAACTAGGTAGGTACACCCATAAAATGTATATAATTTAAAGTTGTTATTATTCGAATACAGAATATTTCTCCTCTCTCCTCTCTTTCGAAATCGGGTATTTTACCAACATTATTTGTATATATGTCCCGGGATTTACCAATTCTCATTCATAAAAGCCCCAACTGTGTAATATTAATCATTCGGGGTTTGACCGCACGCTATTTCGTGTATATCCACTATATTATATTATAGGGTTTACGAAGGTAAATCAGTAAAAGTCTGAATTTATAGACATTGTCCCAGATCAGTTGGTAGAATTACAGGTATAATATGTTTTACCAATCCTTAAGGTTTCGCCAATAGTTTTGTACTTTTACAGTAATATCTATAATAACAATGTCATGTAATAATAATTAAAAAAAAATAAAAATGTTTGTCAATGGAAATAATTATTCTTATTACCACTGACTAGATAATTGTTTGTTATATTAAAAACAAACGGATTGGTACCTATTATAATACAGTTGTAGACAGTTGGTTTGCGGGCGAAAAAAAAATTGCAATTTTTCGATATGGTTTGTTGAAATGACATAACCTGGATGATTGAAATAACATAGAGTGAAACAATATATATACATATACATGCCAATGTACTTACGTTATTCGTTGTAAAAAGCGAAATTAGCCGTGAAATCACCCGATCCGATGGTTTTCATTTTACGTATCGGTTACTCACTGAACTATTATAAACATACCAATGCCCAATAATGTACTGAATACTGATAGGTAATGATATCATCAATTTTAGAATATTAGAACATTAAAATACGAAGCTGATACTATTACTTGTATCATTATGGCGAGTGTGGAGGTTAACGACATATTTCGATACGTTTGGTGTGTCGTGTTCGAGTAAAAAAAAAGAAAAAGAAAAGTAATACAATTGGAAATATTAAATACTAGTTTGATATTTTAAACTGTTTTTACGTACGGGTGTAATTCATCGAGTTTTAAATAAGCGTTTTTCGCAATAATTATTTTTCGACAAAATAATAACACTCGAATTCAAATAAACTTTTCTTTTTTTTTTAAATATACAGTTGGTTGTTGTTATTTATCGTTTTTAATCATTTTGACCAATCGAATATGGAAATCGAGATTGGATATTGTTTTCGATATTTTATTATGTTCATAAATTATAACGACCTTGTGGTTTCGATTAAATAAGTTAGTATTTTTTTACTTTATGCAATGCGTGTTTACGTCCAAATTCTAAATATAATTAATTAATAATATAAACGATTAATGTATTAATATTTGAATTTTGTTTTTATTTTTAAACAAACGTGACGTATAACAATCGAGCATCGAATTCTACCTATAAATATTTGTGTGTATATTTCTAATTTTGACATTAAAAAATACCTGCAGTAATATATCGTACTTGCAATTTAATATGTATAGGTAGTTTTATCAGGCTTCGTGTTCAGATTTACAACTAATCTGAACTCTGAAGTTTTCGAAACGGTTTATAGAACGATTTCCAAACGAGCGATCTATACGCACGAGACCACGCGTATTGTGGATTTATCAAACAATATTATTAGGCGGGTAGGTATATCGCTTTGACAGTTCTACTGAAACTAATTTATCTACTCGCTCCTACGACTTTGCTGCGCCATACGTACCCAAACTTATCTTGGCCAGACGCATACTTTTTCTTTGGTTTTTTTGTTTCTGAAATTCATTTCCATGAGTTTTAAGTAGACTTTTCGATGGCGTGGTTATAAATAAAGGTTAATAAAAATAATATAAGACCTATCATTGTTACGGAGAGTATTTCGTTTTTTTGGAATTTCGTTTTTTTTTTTTAGAAAATATTAGAAACAGGTGATCCTAAAATTGTTGACCCTTATTTTTGGGAGAGTGAAACCACTACATAATTTTGATTTTCAAATATCAACCTATGTATAAAAACATTCCATAAATAAATTGAGTTATAGTTTGAATAATGTAGGAGATACCATACGGTTTTGACATTTTTAATTTCTGTCAACCTATTGACGGGATGTTCAACTTTTAATATCCGTTATTTTACAGTTTGGGAGAGAGTAGCGATGCAATAATCGAACACTGTACTGCACGTGAATGATGATCGCCTTACTTTCAGAAATGGCAAACTTAAAAGTGGAATATCTCGTCAATGGGTTGATAAAAACTAAAGATTTCAATACAAAAATGCAATTAAACAAAAACTCCATCTATTTATTGATTTTTTAAAAATATTTTGCGTTTTGAAAATCAAATGAAGGTAGTGATTTCACTTCCGAAATTAAAAATGATCAAAAATTACGGCAATGTAAAATTTTCGAGCCGCTTGTTCTTCAATTTTTTTTAAAAAATCGATTCTGAAAAAGTTATTACTTTCCGAATTAATGAGTGTCTTTACGTTATGCTGATTTATTTAGTGTTATATTGATATAATATTATAATATATTATAATGGTACCTGATAGTTACCTATATAACGAATCGTAAACTTAGTATTCTTGTTTCCATTATAGTATTTCTATGCCATTAAAAAAGTTAAATCAATTAAATTATCGTTCCGATCCATGAGTTAATGCGTCTTGTACTAATTTAGTCAATCGAATTTTTTAGGAAACGAACCGCAAATATTTCGTATTTGATCTATGACCTGTCATATTTTCATATCGTATGAGTATATTGCATATACTTGGAATGTTGCAATATTTTAAGAATATATTATATTTGGTATTTTTGAATAGCATAAAATAAAACCGTTATCCGCTTCTGTCTGTTGGTTCGCTCCGTTCTACAAAACTACGCTACGAATTTTGATACAATATTTCACTATTATTTAGAGAATATATTCCAAAAGGTTTACAATGCATAGTTGCATATTATATTCATGGAAGGTAGGAAAAATCGATGTTTTTGTAATCAAGCCGCGAAAAAAATATTTTCGGGCGTTTATATTGCTAGCGCTGGTTAAACCTTATGAGATACATCAAAATAATGTGCTCGGAATTGGATGTCTTAAACAGGTTTACAAGAATATCCGCAATATTATTCGTCTATCTCTTAAGGTTAATCTACAGTAATCATAAATGTGAAAGTTTGTTTCGATGGACGTTTGTTACCTCTCCACGCCAAAACTACTGAACGGATTCAGTTGTTCCTTTGCATAGATATAGTTCTAGACCAGGAACAAATTATAAGTTACGAAATCGCTGGTCCCCAGAATCCCCCTAAGGGTGTCTTACACAGGGTTATTGGTGTTTTAAGTACGAAAATCGAATTATTTGTGTTGATTTTATGGGCTATCTGGGTGGATTTCTGGGTAAAACCACTTGGAAAAATAAAGCAAAAAAATTAAATTTACCTCTTTAAAATACTACTCAGGGAAGTTTCCTTTCAGAAAAGATGGTACATTTGAACATCAAAGCAACATTTTTGGTAGGAAATTATTATAGAATTATTCACAGAGAAAAAAAAAACCATCATTGCGGTGTGGATACAATAGTTGTTACGAGAATATGCACAACGAACAGTTACTTATCTACCTACTTATGTTCTTTAAAAAAGTAATTTGTTATTGTTATTAATTTTTTAAAGACTAATGATAAATCGGAACATTTTTTGTTTTTGTAATTTGTTTTACAATTATCTAGTATAAAATATATTTTAGATATTATATTTTTATATCAATGACTCGGGCAGACATTTATAGGTATGTCTATGTTCTTATTGGGTGGTTAAAAAACAGCTAGTTTATATCAAACGTGTTTCACGACTTAACGATTCTAAATAAAAAATTTGATTACGCAAATTTCGACGTTTTTTGATTTTTAGGGCATATCATAGGATTTTGTACATTATTAGATACATTGGAACGCATAACCAATATATTGTACACACATTTAAATTTTCCCATTAAATTCCCGTGAGTTTCCACATCACTTTAGCACCACGTATTAAAATGTCGATATGAATAGATAACTGAACACAAATGAAAGCGTTAATCAACAAAGTTGTTAACTAACATTTTCAAAATTGTCCAGGACGTTTATGTGAAGCGAACAATATTTCCTACCTAACCTATTCACAGAAAACAACAACAAATAGTTATGGGTGTTAATATTACGAGCATTATATAATTTAAAAACGGCGCTAGCACAATGTAACACATTTACTTACATTTATTTACATACAAAAACTTCAAATATGTAATGCAATACATTTTTATCAATTGAACACCTCCTTTTAAATATATCCTGTAGGTTTTTTTGGCCCGAGATTTTGATACATTTATTATACGTCGAGTGGCGTTGTGAACTTTAAATAATATAGGAGGAAACAATTTATTAATGACCCACCACCCATCACAGCCAAGTGATTTATACTATTTACAAACCTAAGGTTTACAGTAATATGTATATGTTATCCTCCAACTTACCTACCAACAAGTGAGTAAGTTAGTCCGTTTATATGATGGCATAAAAAAGGTTTGATATTAAATCGGTTTAGTTAAATATCTATTACACTCGTTTGTATAGTGGCACAGAACGGATTAAAAAATAATACAATTTTATATTCGTGTTTTTTTTTTTTAAACTTCATTTTATTTACGATAAAATCAAAAGTAACACATTTTTTTGTGAATTTGACTCTTGAAATCATTTATTGAAAATATGTTGAAATAACAAATCATTATCAATAAAACACTACTAATATTTTTTTAACTAGGTTCATAATACTATTGTTGAATAATATTATTATTATTCAATATTTATATTATTGAACTTTTTATAAGCGAAAATAGTATGTCGTGTAGGTACGTTTATCGTGATGTGTAAAACAATGTTTTAAAAAACAAATGAATTATACTTATTTTGTATTGGATTTCTTTTCATTTTGCTTATCTTTCGTACTTTCCATTTTTTTCAATATTTCTTGTTTATTCTTAAAGTTTGTTTCGATTTCATTGACTACGGCTATGCTTTCTTTTATGGCTATGTCAACTAAAATTAAATCGAACCTCGTTTTTTTAAGCCACTATTAAATATTACAACATATTAAAACTTACTTTTATCTTTTACCAGGTTTTTATACAGATTATCTAATTTCTGTTTAAAATCTTTATTATTCATCGTTTTTTCGTCTATACATTTTTGTATTGTTTCGGCAACGCCTAACAACATGTTTTCAACCTCAGATTCGGGTTTTGCGTCTTTCTTAGTAGGTTTGTTATTGCTTTTAGCGGCGGTCTTGTCATCTCCGGATTTGGTTTCGCCGTTTGAGGGTTTAGCGGGGTTTTTAGATGATTTAGTACAACTCTGAAATTGCAAACAGTTTTTATTTAGATTTATATAGGTACGTATAGTCTATAGTATATAATAATATACTCGTAATAGAATATCTAATATAATATACACCATTCATCATACATATTCATTATGAGAAATAAAATGTAATTATTTATTAATTCTGATCTCGTAGAAACAAAATAAATAACATACGACTATTTATAACAAACTTATTAACACAATATATATTTAATAATATATTAAATCTGGGATTCAAATGGAAATGGTTTTTTTTTACGATTAATGGTTTTTGTTCTTCTATAACTTTTTTTGGTTTAGTTAACCAGTTATTATTGTTCTTTAAATTTATGGTTTGCGCGTTGCGACCCACGCTTCACTGGAACTTTGCTGGTGAGAGCTTTGGAAAGCTGTGGACGCTGAGTCTTCTCTGTCGGGTTGTGGTGCCCAAATTCTGGAGTAAGACCTGGGACTTGCTGCACCGGATCCTGATTACGTATCTAATTAGGCGTTGATCCGGGTGGCTCGGTTGGTCCCGAAGACGCTGCTCGGGGTGTTCAACACCTGTCTATATGCCATCGTCCTTAGTGGTTATGTTCTTCTTTGTTTCGGCCATTACTTCCACCGGATTGGGTGGCTGCTTGGTCCGGAGCGTGGATTGCTGGGTTGAGGACCACTGAGCACATGACCTTCAGATGCCTTCGATAGGTGGAGGAGCGAAGTAGCGTCAGGGGGTGTCTATGGGGAGTGACATGCTTCCCGAGCATGTTATGGATCTTCTTTGTAGGCCGATGGTCTCGGTGATCCGGCTCCCCTCGATTTCGCAAAGATGGTAGACGTGGTGGACCGCTATAGGGCGGCATTCTTTGTTATGGTGGAAGCCATTATGGTGAGGAAGGAAGATGATGAGATGGCGAGGCAGAAAAAAAGAACAAAATTATCAATAAGCATCTTATCGCTTAATCTAGCAAATGATAATTTGTCTACTGACACGAACACCGTTCGACGGGACAGTTAGTGTAATATATATTATAAGTTAGCTATATCAATTATTCGTTTTTATGATATTGTTCATTACTGTGTTATGAACCCTTTAGTTATAGGTATATAGTATAAGTGTATATTATAAGAACGCACGTATATATTATATTATAAGATGATATGATTGTAGTTTATCGATAATGACTAGTGTGTAGATGGCTCCAGGAACGTTGTATCGACACGGCACGCTCGAGGAAACCGGATAGTCAGTCGCTCTATCATTGTAAAAACAATACGTCGTCTCGACTCATATTAAAATGATATTAGCACAAAAATACTTAAAACCGTTTTGTTGTACTCTTTCCTTAAATTGAATCCTTACATTACTGAAAAAAAAAAACGTTCGAACGGAACAACCCGTACGAGCGCAACTTAACAACCGTTCATAACAACTGTATGTTTTGATAGTTTATTATGTAATTTGAAATTAAAGTTGATAAAATTATAATTTTTAATGGCATAGTGTACATAAATGTGTTAAGTAAATAGAATGTAAGATAGAGCTAGGCTTTGTTTGATAAAATTATAAAATTACATTATCGCAATATTACGTTTTTGAAATGCTATTTGAACATTTACATTATCTTGTTAGTAGTAAATACTAAAATTAAAATATTAACATTTTTTACGAAATGTTTTCACAAAGTCATGATAATATGTCGAAATTATATTATAATATTGTGATAAAGTAATTTGGTCGTGAAATTAACAATGATCTGTAAATATAAGATAATGGTTAACAAATGCAAATTGATTTCTATGTGAAAAATTATTCACTACAATAATTTAAATTTAAATAGTGAACGTACAACATGTGAATTATAGAAATGACGGACTATTTTGACAAGTAAACCCGCTAAAAGCAACAACTTCTTAAGTCATTTATAATAATTGTTTTATACATTTTTAAATGATAGCTAGATTATTTTATATTTCAATAATAGTTCCATCAATGTGCAATGTGATAGATTTTGAATATCACGTATTATACTAAAACGGCATAATATTAATGCCGAAAATAATGCAAAATAAATAACGATTAATGTGAACATTGAAAAATTATACTACTGCAGTTTCATGCGTTTATGGAATGCAGACGTTATATAATAAAGTACAATAAGAGAAAAGAACTTAAATTTGTGCAAATAGATAGACATTTTCTCTAAATGATATTAGGTAAAAAAAAAAAAAATCACTAACAAACTAAACGAATCTCTTTTTTCATATACTTACGGTCTGTATAGCACACCCGAGAACGATCAAAACGATTAGTCCACGTGTGTAATTTATGTTCATTTTGGAGGAATAAAAATCGTTTTAAGATGTATGAACTTACAACGAACGTTTGCTGTTTGACTGTTTAACAAAGAAAAGGAACCTGAACACAAAATATTAATAATTATAATATTACGTTAATGAACAAACCATTTTTTTTTTTTTTGTTACTTATACATGTGTTAAATAAAATTTGTTAAAAAAAAGTGTTATCATTTAGCGAGAACAATGGAACATATAATTATGAAACAAACCGTATAATACGGTATAGTATTTATATATTTACATACACATACGTAGTTCTTATCTGTTTTGAAAATATTTGTGTTCACCTAATAAATTATTATCTATTAGGTGCGCGCAAGGCTTTAAGACACGGACAATATTATTGTCGTGGTCATTTTGAACCCGGTAAAATACATACCAAACGTTTCTGAGAAATCGCCTTTGAGCTTTGGGAATTTGAGAAACACACCATCTCTCGATCGATTCCCACTTTTGGTTTAATAAGTCAGTAGTTTTACAGTAATTTTTTCCTGTATTGTTTATAAAAAAATAGCGCCATTTCGAGTTTAATTGCCGTGTGTATCTATAATTAAACGTTATTATCCGATAAACGCGCACACATGTGTTTGCAATATGCGGAACGTGGTGCAATGGTTTCGTTCTTGACGCCCATATTTTATTATTTTTTTAATTTTCCTTTTTACAAACGCTTAGATAATTTTCGAAATCATCGGTATCGTTTTTATTATACATTTTACTCGTACCGAATTCCGACTTATTCCCGAAAATATTAAGGTCAACAATGAAGGTCGGGACTTTGATGTGCATAGCTGTCGTGTTCATCGGCGTATCAATGTTACAGGTAATTCGATTTTTATTTACGTAGAATATTAATCATTATCATAAAACGTATGTTTCGTTTGTAATAAATATATACATATATTTTTTTTTTGTGTTTTCGATTCGTAGTATGTGAATGGCGGTAAAAAAGTGACAGACAAGAAACTTGAAAATTGGATCGAAAAAAAGGATAAAGATAACTACGAGAAGAAAACTTCACCGTATGAACTCGATGATTTAAAATCTGAACCTGAGATACCGAAACACGGAAAAGAATTATTAGATATGTTAGAAGTCATACAATATATCATCACCGATGTATTTAATAATAAAGAGTTCCGCAAGTTTATGATAAAACGGTTCTTGCACAATTATGTCCCGCATGGTACGTTTTGAATCCAACGGTTTTGTTGATAAATCATATCACGTTAATGTATATATAAAGAACATTATAGTATTGGTCATGGAAAAAAATGTTAAAAAGATTGTTCGACCAAATAAAAATATACTTACGAAAAAATATCCAATTTTCCCAAGACCATTTGTCCTTCTGTTCATATTTTTATTTAACTTTTTTTCTGTTCATATTTTCGAATTTACTATTATCAGCTAGACTCATATATTATATAATCGTAGTGTTGACCATCAGAATTTTTAAAATTTGTATAGGTAATATGTGTAAATTAAAATACACGTAGGTAATGTTTTTTTTTAAAAATATAGACGTGGATTTGATAGTAAACAAAATGAGAAATAATGGATTGAGATGACTTAAATATACTATTAGTAGAGAGAAATTAGAAGCAGTAAAAATGTTAACAAAAATACAGATGCGATTGAGAATCATATGAGGATTGAGGGTGTATAGTGTATATATAGATGATGTGGAGGATCGGGTCAAGTTGGAGTTTAGGACCAGGAAGGCCGACCCCTAATATTTGGATGAAGGCGAAGGATAAGAAAACAGACCTAGGTATGTATTTTAAATAAAATATATTGTACGTTTGTTGAAAATATCTTCAATTAAAATCAAATTGATCGAATATACGAAGTGTGTAAATAAAGAAATGGGTTGGAGGTTAGCTAACATCTTTGTGCACTTTCAGTATGAGTTTGAACTCTCTAGATTAGTGTGTTAGTTTTTAGATTGTTTTCGTAAGCTGGTATTTTCTTGAGCATTCTGAAATTGAGTGACAATAAATTCGGAATTATTTATTACTATATACAGGTAGTTGATTAACTCGGCGTTGTCCGTGCTAATTTAATTTTCTCTTTCTTTTTGACTATTTAAAAGTAGCGTTTAAAAAAATATCCTTTTAAAACCCGAAATCAATAAAAGAAATTCAATTTGACGAGTCTCCCCGTTTCTAAAAGCCACTTCCCATTATCATATGAGTATGTGCAACTGTTAGCTGCAGTTAATCGTGGTTACCTAATAAAAAACGTAGTAATAAAAACAGTAGATGTATATCTTTATTAAATTAGTGACTCTTCTCAAATACTTGCTTTACTAGTTGTATTTGATCTATTGTTGATTTTCCTAACATAAAACCAGCTTGGTATTCTCCAACTACTTCTTTAATATATGGGTTAAGTCTGGTCAGTAGTAAATTAAACAATAATTTATATGTTATATTGAGTAGCGAGATCCCTTTATAATTTTTACACTCCATGATGGCTCCCTTTTTAAATAAAGGATTTAGAATGGTTATACGCCATGCTTTGGGTATTTTATTTTGTTTTCAGATTTTGTTCAGGTGGTTCAGCAGAACTTGGCTTCCCCTTATTAGGCATTCATATATTATTTCATCATCTCCCGGTGCTTTTCCATTTTTTAGCGTATCTAGTTCGTATCTATCTTTACCACTGTAAAATACTGCCTTTCCTTGAGATTTCAAGTTTCCTGAACATGTCCATCTCACTTCTTTAGCTACGGTAATATTCATCCCATATCGCTCAAGACACGATAGGGATATTGTCAAAGCATTGTTCAAAGCCCTATACAAAGATTTCACGTTCTAGGTTCCGATACTTAAGTCCATTCAATTTTTGATCCGAAGCTTAGATTGTTGTTGTTCCTTGACAACTGATTTTTTTTTGAGGTAGGGTTGTCAGCCCTACGCTCAACCCCCAACCTGGATGGCCAGTCCATACTAACTAGTTAAAGTTAGTGTGGGGCTATTGCAACACACCTTGTTATGTGTTGGGTGATAGGCACGCTATTTTCCTTACACCTAAATTATATTATGTAACGATAATGATATTATGTTTGATGAAATGTCAAATTAAAGAGGTGGTCCGAAATTATAAGGAACTTTTATAAAATTTACCAAATTTTCAATTATCAATCGTTACATTTATAGAAATCTGTTTTAGAATTATTATTATTATTATTTTTTTTTTTGGGGTAACTATTGGTTTTGTTAATGGGCCTCTACACCAATCATTTGTTTTCTCTATCTATCTAGTGCCGTACTATAGCTACAAAGAGGCATTCCGCACTTTTTCGATTGTTGACTCTATGGTTTGTTTAGGGGGTTAAGTGACCTATTATAATTTATATAAAGAAGAATATATCTCTTAACCAAATGATTTTCTTAATATATTCGTTTTATCGAAATATGTACCTGTAATTTGATTTAATTTCTTTTAATTTAATTTATTAACAACATATTAATAAATACAAATATTAAAATAAAATTATTCAATAAAGGAACATTGAATGCTCTTTCTCTTAAAATCTATTTAAGATGCTTTTGCTTTAGACTCAACCAGAATATGTTATATTATTAAATTATAGTTAATTACCAATATTCTTATACATTTAATTCCATATGATATTATTAAACAAAATATTTTAGTAAACTAATAATTACTTGATATTATTTTTTTTCACAGCTACTGACTTTTTGAAAAGAATAAATAAATTGAAAATGGAAATGGATCCGAAATCGGCCAAAATAGATGAACAACGGGATGAAAAAATGAAGAATAGTTTATAATTTATTCTCACCATAAAAATTTAAGTTTTAATAACATTTTTTGACATACACACAAAAAAAACCTGTTACATAAAAATGTATGTATACAAATTATGTTTAAAAATATCTTACGCGTACAAACAAACATTATTTTATAATAATCTTCTATGAAATAATTGTAAAGTTATTATTTCGTTTTCTGAAAATTACATAATTTTTACATTTAAAGCATAATATATTATTATTACCGTTACAGAAGATATACATATGTATAGATTTTTGCTTTTTAAAGATTTAATATATATGTGAGTTGAATTTAGTTTAACATTTGAAAATCCATCACCATAATCCCCTTATCAATGTAGATTAGTCTTCTTCTTCTTTTCTTTTGCATCCATTTAAACTAATGGGAGTAGGCCACTGTCATTCTAAACTTCCACTTGACTCCCATCTCACATACATCATCTGCTCTCATATAACTGTCAATTACATCCAACTACCTCTTTTTTAGTCTTCTCTTCACCTCTTTTCGCCTACTTTTATTTGCATTAACCATTCTTACTGCTTTCTTATCCTTGTGCCATCCTCAAACCATCTCATTCTATGTTCTCTCATTTTTCTATTATCAAAGTTACGCCTAAGGCAGCATAGCAACCTAACCATGGTTTGGTTTGATTTCAAGTCTTCAATGTTGTGACTACTTCTATTCTATTATAAATGGGATTAAATTTATGAGTATAATAAAAAGTCATAAACACGGTTTGTGATTTTATGCATTTGCATAATTGAATTTAAAGGTTCTAAGTTATACATATGTTTCAGATAATCCTGAAATTTAAATACTCAACAAATGTTTTCACATTTCAAAGTTTTGATTACATTTTACTATTTTACGCTTATATTGTAATTTCAAACGTAAAAAGTTTAATCTAGATTATGCTTTGCTTATTATTATTATATATTACAATATATCGTTTATTTGTGTTCCTATTTTTTTTATAAGCATAATCTATCGTTCGACAGAAATCTCGTCGTCTAGTGTTAGAAGTTGTTTTACAATTCCATCAATTAGCAGTCCCCTATATTATTGCAGCACAAGCATTAATATTTTTCAAGTTTCTAAGTAAAATACATCATGCATACATCAAAAATAAAAATATTTAAAACATAAGTACTATTGTAAATTATAATGTACAATTTTAAAATTATAAAATTAAATTCATTGTTATTCTTATGCTAATAACTCTGTTAATACCTATTCAATTTTTTTTAATCATGTTTTGTGCGAGAATGACACATAATATGTGGAGACAACATCTATTTCCATCTTTTAATTATTGAAAAAAAATAATAACTTTATTTATAATCTGCATATTTTATTAAAATGTTTAGAATAATTTTACAAAATGGCAAATTTGAAAATTTTGAAAAGTAGAAAAATAAAAAGTTTTATTTTCAGTGATTAAAGGATGGAAATAAAAGACGGACATACTTCGCACGCGGGTGCAGTAACTGCTGTTTTTTAAGAAGTTGGGAAGGTAGGATATAGAACGGAAATTAATTTGTATCTCTAAGCATTACTTAATAAAAGCAATTCTGCGTGGAGTTCAGTTAATAGTGATGTTTTGTCAACAATAAATATGTCATATTATGGTAAAATAATTAAATAGACATTATATATTTTCTTTAATAATATTTGTTTAATTTTATACCGATGTTTCTGTTTTCCTACGTTTTTCCCGGTTTTCCCTTGTTTTTCCAATTTTTCACATTTGCTGGGAAAACTCTTGAAAAAATCAACACATGGCTTTTTTTGCAGTATTTTTCCAGTCGGATTTCCTTTAAGAAAAAGTGTTATCATTGTAGATCGAAGCAAAGTTGTTGTTAGGAAATTTGTTCACAGAAAAAAGAAGGCCATAATATTTTTTAACTATAATACCTACATTTCATACATTTCCTCGTGTTTTCTCAGTTTTTTTCGGTTTTTCTCATTTGCTGAGAAAACTTCTGAGAAAATCGAAAAATAACTTCCCTAAATTACCTTACCTAAAATACTTAATTGGCTACACTCAGAGCCTAAAAAAATGAACATTTTAATAATAAAATTAGTAATAATAATAATCAAATTGGCATCAGTATTATTATCAATACTTTTAATAATATAAATCAACAATAATAAAAAGCAGCATATTTATAACAACCATCAATCATAATAATAATCATTAACAAATATCATAATTAGCATTTTAATCAAATAACCAATATTAATCATAGGCATAATTTTAATAAGGGCAATAAAAATAAGCATAATAATAATAATAATACGTACTTTAAAAATCATTATAATAATCAGCAATAATAATAATGAACATTTTAATAATAATAATCAAATCAACATCATAATAACCATCAATACTTTTAATAATATTAATCAAAAATAATAATAATAATAATAATATTAAACAAATAACATAATCAGTGTTTTAATAAAATAACCAACAATAATTTTAAACATAAGTTTAATTAGGGTATTTGTTGATTATTGTTATTATTATAATTTATGGTTATTAAGTATTATTATTGTTGATTAATATTATTAAAATTATTGATAAATATTATTATTATAATGCTCATTATTATTATTGGTGATTATTTTTATTTAAGTAATTATTATATTTATTATTACCAATTATGTTTCTTATTCAAATGTCGAAAAGTTGTTACATTTAATAATCGGAGCGAGATTTTTGGTAGAAAAGTTGCGCACTGATAAAAAAAAAAATATATATCTTTGTAAAACCATAAGCTTCTTCGCTCCACTCAGAATCCAAAAATTTAATTTGTTTCTGCACATGTGCTCCCCTCGCATAAAACCTGAATGAAAAAAAAAAAAAGAATGGGAAAAAAAGAATATTGACGGAGTTGTTAACATAAGGATAATACTGTAGGACACTGTATATAAAACTATGAAATTATATTTTTTTCACATTTAATGCATTTTGTTCACATATTTGAATACGTATAGAGGATATTTAAGCATCTATTTGAATGTTGTTAAAGGTATATCACTGGACTTATAATAACGATCTTTATTAGAGCTACAATAAGTCACTAGCACTGGTCATAAAATACAATTTTATGATGGAAGACAACTTGGATGTAAATATTAATGTCCGTCCAAACGTGCAATAATATTTTATTTTATTTCATCACTACATATTCGATTAAATCGTATTTGCAACGGTTTTATTTGTATATTTTATAGCAGTTCCGTGTGTATTTGATGAACAAAATGAAGCTTCGGGTCAACTATCAGTAAAAATATTAACTAGTTTTGCGTTTGTTTGGGCGTCATAGTTGTTAGGGTTTGCGTATGTATGCTCAAGAAGTTTATTTCCCCATTATCGACGAATGTTATTTCAACACTACCTATACGTGTTTGATAATTTTGTTCACCATAACATTAATCATTATTTATAACTACATGATAACAAATCTAAAGTACTGACTTTAGAACTGCAAAGGTTTTCAAAAACAACACGAGTGTCAGTAATATTATAGTTATTCACAGGTATGTAAATATTTAACAGTTATTTGAAGTCTGGGTGACATTCAATATTATTAAATAAACATATAATAAATGATATTTATACACATTCAGTTTAAAACAAATACGAAATAATACCATTAAACAAAATTTTATTAAAATCAAAGAACCAAATAAATGCACAATATTATTACTTTTCAGTTATATTATGTAAAATATTGTTTTTCATTATTAGATTAATTCTAATCTATATTAAATAAGAAGAAAAACCAGAATATACAAATTGGATTTAAATATAATAATTTTTCTATTCAAATTTATTGTCTTTCGAGATAAAACTGATATTGTTATTCGTGTAGGTTTTTGATAAGCTCAGTAGAAACATAGACAAACATTAAATTAGAATGTCACATTGATAAAAATATTCATATTAACTGTTTTTTTGTTCAATAAAAATAACGTATAGTGTAATATTTCATGAACGGGTTTGAATATTGATTTCTATTTTGATTGAAAAAAAATGTTCAAAATTTGTGAACCCTAATAACATTATATCTATTAAAGATTTGACACATTCAAATGTTTTTTTAAATTTTAGTTTTTTATGGTGTTGTTTAATTAAATTATTTATTCATTAAATAATGAAAAATTTACAATAAAGGTGCTGAAAATTGTATTCCAAATTTAAGCACGAAAACGTAGAGAAAAATAAAAATAATAAAATAATATAATATTTATTTGGTAAAATATATAATAAGATAAAATACTTTTTGTATAATATAATAACGAAAACCGTTTAAAATTGCGTAGAAGTAAACAATTTTTCTATGATATATCTGAATGTTAATTAAAATAATTATAAATAAACATTTATAGGTTTCCATCATACTCTATGATAATAATAAAATTGAAATTATCTTTTAATTATTATATTCGACTATCTATAAATCATTTGTATGCAAATTATATACTTTCAATTGATATTAAAAACTATAATAACACTTGCTGCAAATTAAATAATTTTCTATTCTATAACTGTAAAATTGGAAAAACGCCCCATTACGTTTCAAAATATGGTTATATTATTTCGAGGATTTTAGTAAAGCACGTTGTTTGCACGGATTGCAATTTGAAATATACATTACAAGAAAAGATAAAACATTAAATATATTTTGTTTTAAACCTATAGCTGAAATCTGAAAATTTACGATCTGTAGAATGTTTTGATAGTATATTGCTGTTATTTTATGTAATACATAAAAAGACACACCTACATTTTAAACCGACTACACGAATATAGTAAAATCACCTATACGAATCGCCGTGTATTGATTATTATAATCACACATTTTTGATATTTTTGTAAAAAACTTTATTGTAGAAATTTTGAAAAAAATCTGCACTAAAACCACTTAATTATATGAATATGCGAAAGTGTGTCTGTATATTTGTTACATTTTCACGGCTTATCAGCTGAACTGATCTTAAAAAAAAGTGACAGAGAATTGGCTTGCATCTCGAAATCGAGCGTAGGCCACTTTTTATCCTGGAACTCAACTTCAGAGGGTCTTAAAATTCGTTACTTGCAATTAAGTTGTCCATTTCATCAGGTTTCTATTCGTTACATAGCTAAAAGAAATAAATGAGCAGTGATACTACACTACTAGAGTAGAATTTTCCAGATAGAGATTGTATAAAAAGATACTGATATAGAAATAGAAGTTAAACAAATTAAATTAAACATTATATGTACGAATATTTAAGAAATTATAGACAAACACTAAACGTGCCATCCTGGAAGAGGAGGAAATAAAGAGCGGAGGATATAAACATTAGGACAATAGTTTTTAATTGATGTAACACGTCATCCTGAGGTGATATGAACACGGTGTAGAGGTAACGGAAAATTCTTGGGGGATGAAGAAATGTTCGCTCTTTTTCCTTTCAAAATTGTAAAATTCAAAGTATTTTCCATATTTTAAAGGTAGAACTATGCAGTGGTGGATTTTCATGGATGAGAGTCCTATCAATAAAAAAAAGAGAACTCCTAAGGGGTTAAAACTATTTACATATATTTTTATAATGCAAATTATATTACATTATTGTTCAATGTAATTCAATATTTTTGCTAAATAAATAAATAATTACTATCGTCATTCTTATTTTAATTTTAATTCATGTTGTTTATGTTTCAAATATTTTTGTACATAACCATTAAACAACGTATATACTGATATCCTGTATCCTGTATACAGTATCCTGATGATGAGGCAATGCCGAAACTGAGTAGTTATGTAATAATAAACTTTCACACCTTTAAGTCTAC